GGTTTATAGAGCACTTCTGGTCATGACAGATGCGCATGCGTCATATTGAGAACCCACCTTAATAGTTAAACTACATTTTTTGGGAACTACAGTATGGTACGCTGCTATATACTTATCTGCAATAAAATGAGCACTTACTATTTTGTTATGTAGATAACTTAATAAATCACCAGCACTGCCAGTCATTTATTAGGTGAGAGTACCATACCACTGACTGTGAAGTGGTACCAGTACAGCTTCTACATATAAACAAATAAATAGTCTAAATAAAGTAATAAATATATAACAAGCATAATAACATAAATAAATATAGAAACGAAATTATATTAGAGTAATCAATGGGGCAGTGCTACCTTGTACGAATTGAAAATTCTTGAATACTTGAAATCCATGCATGTAGCTAAGTGCAGGAAATATCAATATAATAGCAACCAATGATTGCATAGCCAAAAATTGGGTACTTTACCCACCATCAAAAAATTGAAATCAAATTTTAATTAGATCAAAAAATTAATAAATTTAGCAATTCATAATTTTAAAGTTTTAAGTCTCAGGAATCATCATCCTGTATCCTAATAATTGATTGACTACTGTCTATTGTTAATGCACTGTTCTGTGGATTAACATTGACTATTCCAACTTTAAAGTTCTCATACAGTTCCTCTTTAACAGCATCATTGATGATATTAAATCTGCCACATGTCCTGCTTCCAAATGCCTTTAGTACTGGATGAATTTCATGAGTACTATAGTCACCTAGTAATTACAGGACACAATTCAATGAAGAGGAATGTTTATGGGTACAATACAGTGCATGGTACTTAGCGCAACTTTTAAAATTTGCAAAAAAATCCAATTTTGATTGAAATCAGCTCCAACTTGAAACACAATGCAAGTACATGTATATACATTAGACAAAATTTTTAAAATAGAGAATTCTCTCCAAATCAATTTTGGCAAAATTTGATCAATGACCCTGTACTACAGTACAGGGACTTTAGCCTGATTTTAGAAAAATTCATAAAAAATTCCAAGCTGATCAAAATCAGTTCAAACTTGCTACACAGCACAAGAACTTGTAATATGCATCAAGAAAAAATTATAAAAGTGAAAAATTCTGTTCAAGTCATTTTTGGCAAAATTTAGCCAACGACTTTGAAAATTCATTAAAATTAGTTTTTATTAAAATCAGCTTGCTATATGCATTCAAAAAATTTGCTTAAAATTTTTTAAAATTTTTGAGCAACTTTAAAATCCACTGATAAAGGGCCTGCAAGCAGGAGCAGTATGCAAAAATCCTGTGAAAAACCATAGTAATGTTAGATTAATACTTACTGTTCCATACTGCAGTGTTGTCTCTAGCTTGTAGAGTTATTACTGTATCAGTTGATAACACTCCTCCAGTTAGTACAGCACATATTTCTACAGTTCCTTCATTCTCAATCACATCATATGTTCCTCTCTCTAATGACAGCACACCAGCTATACAGTAATAGATTATAGACAGTTATTATTTGATACTCTACATTATGTTTTGTACTTACAGTCATTATCAATGATGGTGATTGTAGCTGTTTGCCACTTCAGCTCTACTTGTACATTATGGTCATTAGGGTCATTAGATCTATCACCACCAGGTACTATGATGACTCTTATTGTTTCATTTCCTTCAATGATATTATCATCGATACTAGTGATAGGAGTGAATGTAATATCATTCAGTGTATTATTGGCACTGTAGGTTAATTTAGGAACAGTAGGATTAAAGGAGAAATCAGATTGTAAGCCACCTATAGTGTTAATAAACATTAGGTCAATGACAATATAATACACACCTCTTGTAGTATTCCCTCCTTCATGTCTTAATACAATTGGTTGTATTTTGTTTTCTGGTAAACCTCCAATTGCTTCTCCCCCTCTCTCATCTCCTATCTGCTGTATAGTTAGCACTGGTGTCCCTCCTTCCATTACTGAGATATTAATATCTTTAATACCAATTCTAAAGACTGCAAAAAAGTTATAAAGCCAAATTGTAATGCTAATAACTTTAATATTAATGTACTTAGTAATTAGGGGCAGTAAAATTATTTAACTATTATCACTTAAATGCATTGTAATTATTTCATTTTTCCTTACCATCCCCACTGTCAACAATGAATGGATAAGTTGTAACTGATGTAATCTTAACATGTGCACTGGTAGCACTGATTTTCATTAGAAAAACTTCAGATAGTTCAACTACATTATCTACAGGAACCATTAAAGGTACAGACTTTGCAATAACATTTTTGTCTTGGATGGGATCAAATAGAACACTCTGCTTTGAAAAATTAAAATTATCTGCAAAAAAACATAATAGCCATGTATTGATCTCATACCAAAATCTCCCAAAGCTTGATTCTGGTTTCCTAAACCTTGGTGCTTTTCATATGACAAGGTGACTTCAAAAGGAGTCAAAAAATTAATTTTCTGACGCTTGATATAAACTTGAGCTGTAATACCTTCTGCAAGAAATGGAAATACCTGTAGATGAACAGGCATTGCTATGAAATGGAAAGAAGAGTGATAATTGCAGTTATATCATGTAACCATGGACTTACTGTCTATATCATTAATTGTAATGCTAAGTCGTTTGTATACAAGTACAACTCCTAATGGCATCTTTTCACTGGAACTAAGTTCAATTGAGTAATCGAATGAAAGAGTTGGTTGGAGAGCAACTGCGTTCCCTTGTGATACATACTGCAGACTAAAATTTGTAGGTAAGGTAGCAAAGTCTTGTCCTCTGAACACTGGTGTCATTAAAAAGTCAGCAGCTTTAATCAAAAAGTTAAGCAGTGAATATAAATTAAATAAAAATGATTTACCATTAACTAGTGTTTCTGGCTGTTGGGAAATATTAAAAAGAAGCTCACGAACTTCATTTGTTGAAGCCCCAGGAGTACTGAGGAGTACATCAGCAGTAAATGAGTACCTTCTACCAGCATCTCTTGGACCAATATGCACACGTGATTGATCAAAACCAACAACTATTATATAAATAATAAATGGATAATGACAATTAAACTAACAAAATTTTTAATTCTCATACTAGGAAATTAGTGTACACAAAATTTCGCATATTCCAGTGTGTAAACTTAGTACTCTTGTATTCAATAGCATACAAAAATGAATTGAAATAAATGCATGGAGTCCCAGAATGCTTTAATGGCAATCTTACCAATGCATGCGCCACACTGTGTCTCTGCATTTAATGAAGAATAAGATATATATCCTCCACCAGTTCTATTACAGCAGTCAATAGCTGCAAGACTGACTCTATTAGTATTACTAGTACAATCAGCAGCAGATGAATAACACTGTACAATTTCATCCTCTTGTAATTGCTGTGCCACTACATGAAGACAATATGTAAGAAAACTTTTAATAGCAACTTCTTTTGCAATTTTGATACCATTATTTATACATCAAATGTGACTTGATCATTGGCAATGATCCTATAAAACCCAAAGCCATGTATTGCATGTATTGCATAACCAGACTACACCATACTTGGAAGTCAACATGCTTCAGTATTCCAAACACATATCCAGATACTGTTTTCAGTATGTAAAATACACATTATATAAGAATTGCATCATAACAGTGTGACATTTCAATGATCAAAAATTGACTTGCATTGCAAAAAAATGGGGTAGGAATGTGTTTCACTTGCTTCTTGCTTGTAGATTATTACATTACAAATTACTCATCAAATTATCAACTTTCTACTTGTACAACATTACAAAATACAATTACATGTACGTCAGATTTGAATCTTCAAAGAACAACTACAAATACATTAAAATACTCTAAAAATACAAATACTTTATATTCTGCTGTGCAAATTTTTTTATCAGTTTACTTACCATCATCATCCACTACAGTCACATTCATTGTCCCAAGATCTATTTCATTACGAAAGCTCCTTAATCTTAGTAGATAATGTTTATCAGGTTCCAGTGCAATGTTATTATCAACCACTGGAAAAACAACAGTCCTATTCTGTATTATAGCACCAGTATCAAATGTGACAAAACCAAGGAATAATCCATGGTCTATTAAGATAAATGAAAATGATATATACAATTAAACTTACTGCTTGTTCCATCATCAATGTATACTTCAACGTATTTATTCTCTCTCTGGATGAATTGTCCTAAGACAGTGATTGGTTGATTTCCTCCTCCCTCAGAGAATGTAGCTTCACCCATAGCAAACCAAACTCCAGCTTTGATGGATCATGCAGATCAGTTACAAAAAACTAAACAGTAGTGTTGCAAATAATTATACTAACAATCATCATCTTGTATCCTAATGAATGATGGACTCCGATCTATTGTTAATCCACTATTTTCTGGGAAGATGCTGCTTATTTCCACTGTAAAGTTCTCCAGTAGTTGTTCTCTAATGGTATCATTGATAATATTAAATTTACCACATGTCCTGTTTGCAAATGCAGGTAATATTGGATGACTTCCACAAGGACTATGCATGTAGTCACCTAATGACAGGACATATAATATCAATATATGCATGTATGTAACAAGTAAATAAAAAACATTAAAAATGGAATTGGAAAGAAACAAGAGGGTACTTGCTAACTGGTTTGATAAGATATCTTACACCACTGCATGAAAGATAAAGCCCTCATGACTGCTATGCCATGCATGGGACTCAGTATCATTTGCAAATTCATGCTGTGGTGTGGGATGTTATCACACCATTTAGCAAGTACCCTCTTGTTTCTTTACTTTTTTACAATTCAATCCTTCTACTTTTCCATTTTTAATGTTTTTTATTTACTTGTTTCCATTCTTTTTTCTTAAGGTAAAAATTACATTCTGTTATGATTGCGTGGTTAGGTTAACCACATGAGTTTCCAGTTGAGTTGCAAAAAATAGTGCATGAGGAAAGAGGCTGCACTATTTTCTTAGCAATAAGACCAGAAGAATGAGCTTAATAGAGCCACTTATATCTACAGTGTTCAGTTGCAGCAGGGATATACTAAAAGGAACAGTTCTGTGTGGTATATCCCTGGTTGCAGCAAAGCCAATTTGCTCATACTCAAATTGGGTTATGGATGCTCTGATGAATAACTGCCTCTACCTCCTCCCAGACACAAAACAAACAAAGTTTTAGACTAGAATAACCTCAAATTTTATGCTGAACTTTGAAAAGGAGCTGTTCCAAAGAAGTATACATAGTGCTTGCCATCATACAGCTATATCAATAGGAGGGTTCTATGGGTTTTATCACAACTATAACAGGCCTTTGATGTTTGCTGCAACTATAGGCCTAACCCAATGCTAATTACTGCATAGTGGGGTAATTTTGTGGAGAGAATAAATTTTAGTGAATTTGTTGTTTTGATAGCCATTTTAAAAATTCAAACCCACCATTTTGTACCATTAGCATATCGTCACAAATTTGCAACTAATACCTATCAATCACCAAAGTTTCTCCCCTCTAAAATTACCCATTTCATGGTATCAATAGCATTACTATATGCCAGAAAAAATAATTTTAAAATAATTATTGATCGCTGAACAATAATATCGACTGGTGCTCAGGCTTATAGTATTTTTGAAGATAGTTAGCCTTAATATATTAGTATACTTACTCCTAAATCTTGCACTGTTAGATCTAGCTAGCATAGTTATTACTGTATCAGTTGGTAATACTCCTCCAGTTAGTACAGCACATATTTCTACAGTTCCTTCATTCTCAATCACTTCATATGTTCCTCTCTCTAATGACAGCACACCAGCTATGAAATTAAAAAAATAAATATTGTTATACCTCCCTCGTTACTTACAATCATTATCAATAATGGTGATGGTAGCTGTCTTCTGGTCTCTCTGTACTTGAACAACATTATCTGTACCAGGTACTATGATGACTCTTATTGTTTCATCTCCCTCAATGATATTATCATCAATACTAGTGATAGGCTGGAATGGAATATCATTCAGTGTATAATTGTCTCTGTAGGTTAATCTTGGCACAGTAATATTAAGGGAGAAATCACTATCTATAATTATTAATATTTAAACTAACACATTGTGCTAATACTAACCAATTGTAGCAGTCCCGGATACATATCTCAATCGAATTGGACTTAAACGACCCTCTGGAAATCCTCCAATGCCTACACCGCCAGTCTCATTTCCTAACTGCTTTATAGTTAATGGGGCAACTTCTCCTTCTTTAATAGTAACATGTAGGTCTTTAAACCCGATACTGAAAACTATAAAATACAAAGAACAAGCTCATAAAACTTATCTCATGAACAAATGACTTACCATCTTGATTGTCAAGTCTTACTATTCGAGTGTCAGAATCTATTCTAACTCTAGAATCATTAACACTGAGTCTCCACCTAAACGCTTCTTGTAATTCCACACTATTATCCCGTGGCATCATAAACATCAATACTTCAAAGCGTTGCTCGTTTAATGTTGCTGGTTGAAATACAACACTATGCTGCTCAGTAAAGTTGAAAAAATCTAATTAAAGGAATGATTAATCATAAAGAATTACTTATGTCATACCAAAGTCTCCAACAGCAGCTTCATCTTGAGACAATGGGCCAGTATACCTCTCATTTGAGACAGTGACTTCAAAAGGAGCTTCATATGCAATTATTTGACGTTCAACCCTAGCTATAGCAATACTACCTTCTAAAACTATTGATGGCTCTTGAAGACCAACAGTAATTACTATAAAGAGAGAGATGATGATGATCACAATAAACTGATTCAATACAAACTTACTGTCTATATCATCAATTGTAATACTAAGACGTCTGTATACAAGTACAACTCCTGATGGTATTGCTGGATCATTCCAACTAGTTTCAGCAGCAATTGTGTAATTGAATGAAAGAATTGGTTGGAGAGCAACAGCATTCCCTTGTGATACATATTGTATGCTAAACCTTTCTGGTAGGAAACCATTGGTTCGTCCAGCAAAATCTGAGCTTAAGTAGTCAGTAACTATCATCAGAAAAATAAAAATAAAGTAAATAAAAGCATTATCTACCATTAACTAGCATAACTGGCTGTCGTGAAATAACATAATCCAGACCAGTAACATCAGGAGCCCCAGGAGTACTGAGGAGTACATCAGCAGTAAATGAGTATCTTCTACCAGCATCACTTGGACCAATATGCACACGTGATTGATCAAAACCAACAACTAGTGAATACAGTATAAATAAATAAGAATAACAACATTAAAAATAATAAACAATTAATTATTATGTTACAACTCTCTTACCAACACATGCACCACATTGATGTGCTGCAGGATGAGATATATATCCTCCACCAGTTCTATTACAGCAGTCAATAGCTGCAAGACTGACTCCATTAGTATTACTAGTACAATCAGCAGCAGATGAATAGCACTCTACAATCAGATCCTCTTGTATTTGACCTTGAACTATATATACACAAAATAAAAATAATTACTACAATTATCATTATTGACTTACCTGTAAGTATTAACAAAAAGAAAGGAAAGAATACAAGAATCATCTTGACCTTTCTTCTCACATGACCATGTTGTTATAATATTATTATAATATTAGCACAGTGGTCCTACAATGATAACTTCATAGGACAATGACCATATAAGGCATTGACCTTATTTAGTATTACAGCACAAAAAACCATAAAAATTTATCTCACTATTAGATCTAGATCTATCATGCTATAGAGAAGCTAGGTTGCTAAGATAGTTTCTTAAGAATAAAACAAAACGAGAAATAATATACAATAAATCCACCAGCTGGCATAGCAACTGCCAACTGTGATTAGCTCAAAAATTGATAAGCTTTATTCAAGGCCTAGCCTTAAGATAGCTTATAGCTGTTGTAGATACTGTACAGTATCTATCTATCACACAACTTTTGAGTTATGACAACAACAGTAGTCAATTTTGCCAAAATTGATGCAAACAATTTGCTAATTAGAAAAATGAATATGTTAATTGTCATCATCTTGTATCCTAACTGTAGACCAGGTATAGTCCACATGCAGATTTTTATTCCAAGGAATTACTCTGAAGATATACATATGCATTTCTTCATAAAGTGTCTCCTTTATATTATCATTGACAATGTAGAGGGTTACACAGGTACTGTTCTTATATGGAGGCAGTATTACATGAAAGTTGAAGAAAATATAATCAACTAAATAGAGAGAGAAAGATGTGCAATACTATAAGTACAAATGAGAAATCATTTACATTGATATTTTGCAGTCCCTTGAGCATCAAAAATGTTAATGTTCATTGGGGTCGACAAAAATCCTTTAGTTAGGACAACACATATTTTGATACTAGTTTGATTCTCAATAACATCATATGATCTTCTTTCCAGGAACACATCAACCACTATATGGTATTATTTAATATTATAATATCATCAACTTCATTTGCATTAAGTGTCATAACTTACCATCATCATCCTCTACAGTCACATTCATTGTTTCTGGATTACCTAAACCTATATTACCAATGTTTCTTAATCTTAGTAGATAAAGTTTATCAGGTTCCAGTGCAATGTTATCATCAACTACTGGAAAAACAACAGTCCTATTCTGTGGTATAGCACCAGTACTAAATGTGACAAAACCAAGTAGTGTTCCTTCTATAATTGAAATAAATGCATTAAAACTGTAGTATATGATTAAACATACTTGTAATTCCATCATCGATGTATACTTCAACATCTTCACTTTGACTCAATTGTGCTCCTCCTAGTATGACAGTGATTGATTGATTTCCTCCTCCTTCAGAGAATGTAGTTTGACCCATAGCAAACCTTACTTCAGCCTCTGCTTAGTGCATAATACGACTAAACATGGAATTTTATAATAATTATACTAACGATCATCATCTTGTATCCTGATGAATGATGGACTCCTGTCAACTGTTAATCTATTATTTACTGGGAAGATGTCAGTTATTGCTACTGTAAAGTTCTCAAATAATTGTTCACTAATGAGATCATTCCTAATTCTAAATCTGCCGCATGCCCTGTTTGCAAATGAATGTAATGTTGGACGAATTCTAAGAGTACTATAATCACCTAATTAAAGAACACATAATGCAATAAATATTAATACTTACCAATGCATACTGCAGTGTTATCTCTAGCTTGTAGAGTTATTTCTGTATCAGTTGGTAATACTCCTCCAGTTAGTACAGCACATATTTCTACAGTTCCTTCATTCTCAATCACATCATATGTTCTTCTCTCTAATGACAGCACACCAGCTATACAACAAAAAAATAGATATTGTCACATCTCCTCTCAATTATTATAAACTTACTGTCATCATCGATAATGGCAATGGTAGCTGTCCGCTGATCTCTTGGTATTTGGAGAACATTATTACCATTACTTAATATGATGACTCTTATTGTTTCATCTCCCTCAATGATACTATCATCAATACTAATGATAGGAGTGAATGACATATCATTCAGTGTATTATTGGCACTGTAGGTTAATCTTGGAACAGTAGAATTTAAAAGAAAATCACTACCTAATAATGTAAAATTAATATGAATAAATCTATAAAATACTATTAACCATTTGTAGCAGTCCCAGATATGTGTACTAATTGAACTGGCTGTAGATGGTTCTGTGGAAATCCTCCAATGTCTACACCACCAGTCTCATTTCCTATCTGCTTTATAGTTAATGTTGCCACTTGCCCTTCTCTTATAGTAACATGTAGATCTTTGAAACCAACTCTGAAAACTATATTTACAATTAATTAATTTTACTAGCAGTAATAACATACCATCTCGATTGTCAAGTCTTACTATTTGAGTGTTAGGATTTATCCTAACTCTAGAATCATTAACAGTGAGTCTCCACTGAAACACTTCTTGCAATTCTACAATATTATCCTGTGACATCAAGAAAGTTACACGTTCAAAATGTTGATCAAATTGATATTCTGGATGAAATACAACACTATGCTGCTCAGTAAAGTTGAAATTATCTACAAATAAACTAAATGATAATCAACAATGAGTGTATAATACCAAATTCACCAACAGCAGTAAACAAATAAGGATTTCTAAACTTCCCAAGTGAGACAGTAACTTCAAAAGGAGCTTCATATTCAATTAATTTACGCCTAATGACAGCTACAGCAGTACTACCTTCTACAAAAGGGAAGCATTGTAGTTCCAGACCAACACTCATTACTGAAAGTAAGAAAGAATGAACACAATCATTTGTTGATTCAATAATGTACTCACTGTCTATATCATCAATTGTAATGCTAAGATGATTGTATACAAGTACAACTCCTGATGGTATTGATTCACCACTGCTAGGTGCAATAGTGTAATGAATTGAAAGAGTTGGCTGGAGAGCAAGTTCATTCCCATATGAAAGATATTGCAGATTAAATCTTTTGGGAAGGAAAGCATCAGTTTGTCCACTAAACACTGGTGTCCTTAAATAGTCAGCAACTTTAATCAAAAAGATAAATATAAAGCAAATGCAACATAACTTTACCATCAACTAGTGTTGCTGGTTCTCGTGAAATATTCCAACATAAATCACGAACTTCATTTGTTGGAGCCCCGGGAGTACTGAGGAGTACATCAGCAGTAAATGAGTATCTTCTACCAGCATCACTTGGACCAATATGCACACGTGTTTGATCAAAACCAACAACTAGTGAACAAAAATAACAACAACAAAGGGTATTGATACTATGGGATTTTATATAAAACAATATAAAACAGCATACAAATTAAAAATTGAAACTTAAATAGTCACAGGGTATAGATCTACATTCTGTGGTAATCTTACCAATGCATGCACCACACTGTGCCACTACATTCAATGAAGAATGAGATATATATCCTCCACCAGTTCTATTACAGCAGTCAATAGCTGCAAGACTGACTCCATTAGTATTAGTAGTACAATCAGCAGCAGATGAATAACACTGTACTATGACATCCTCTGGTAATTTCTGTGTCACTATGATATACATATAATTAAAAAAAGAAAGTTTCAATCAATGACATATTTTACAAGACTATATCTGAATTCTTGTATAACTACTTTAGTTAACAGAGACAACACTGATTATATTATTTAACTTGAGGATGGTTTAGGTCAGTGCAGTTTGTTAATTCAGTCCTTAACACACGTGTATGGTCATTCTAAGCAAGCCTAGGCTTTGCCCAGTTCAAGATAGGCTGATTAGGTGAGTAAAATAGTTATACTAATAATTAGTTGATTAATTATTAATTTCCTGATTGTTATTGCAAATGCATAGCCATAAATGCATGATAAATGACATGAAAGATTCTAGTCTCTCATTGCATTTACTGAAAGGCATATTTGATCTAATTAATTAATGTATGCATATGGCTTAATTTTTCCTAATTTACCATCCTCATCCTCTACAGTCACATTCATTGTTTCTGGATTACCTAAACCTATACTACCAATGTTCCTTAATCTTAGTAGATAATGTTTATCAGGTTCCAGTGCAATGTTATTATCAACCACTGGAAAAACAACAGTCCTATTCTGTGGTATAGCACCAGTACCAAATGTCACAAAACCAAGTGATGTTCCATCTATTGGAATAAAGGTCATTTAAATTATAATTATTTTAGCTTAAAATAGCAATTCTTTGGGTAATTTTGGTCACTAACTTATTATCAGTTTTTATTTCATTTAGCGAGATGCACTAAGATTGCACCAGTTAGATAGCACACAGCTATAAGTACACATGTAGTTATTATTTTGGCTCTTATATTTTTTAGGCAAAGCTAATATTTGACTTGTAATTTATCCCATCAAATTTTGGTAAAAAAATCATGGCTCATGCATGACCCTGGACCAAAATTCATAATATTAAAATGAACAGAATCATGCCAACTTTTAGCCTGAAATTTGCAAATGCTGTAACTACAAGTATAAATGTTCAAACATACTGGTAGTTCCATCATCAATGTATACTTCAACATCTTCACTTTGACTCAATTGTGCTCCTCCTAGTATGACAGTGATTGATTGATTTCCTCCTCCTTCAGAGAATGTAGCTTGACCCATAGCAAACCTTACTTCAGCCTCTGCTTAGTGCATAATACAGATAAACATTAAATTTTATAATAATTATACTAACGATCATCATCTTGTATTCTGATGAATGTTGGAGACTGGTCTATCTTTAATCCACTATTTTCTGGAAAGATGCCAATTATTGCTATGGTACAGTTCTCCAATAGTTGTTCACTAATGAGATCATTCGTAATATTAAATCTACCACATGTTTTGTTTGTAAATGAGCGTAATACTGAATGAATTCCATGAGTACTGTAGTCACCTAATTAAAAGGCACATAATACAATAAATATTAATATTTATATTTACTCCTAAATCTTGCAGTGTTATCTTCAGCTTGTATAGTTATTTCTGTATCAGTTGATAATACTCCTCCAGTTAGTACAGCACATATTTCTACAGTTCCTTCATTCTCAATCACATCATATGTTCCTCTCTCTAATGACAGCACACCAGCTATACAATAAATTATAAAAATAAAAAAACAAAACATTAGATTCTTCATCTCTCATTTTAATTATTATACACCACGATATACTTACTGTCATCATCAATAATGGTGATAGTAGCAGTTTGAATACCACTCTGTACTTGAACAGCATTATCCCCACCAGGTACTATGATGACTCTTAATATTTCATTTCCCTCAATGATATTATCTTCAAAACTTGTAATAGGCTCAAATGGAATATCATTTAGTGTATTATTGGGTCTATAAGTTAATCCTGGCACAGTAGTATTAAGGGAGAAATCACTATCTATAATTATTAATATCAAACCAACACATTGTGCTAATACTAACCAATTGTAGCATTCCCGGGTACATGTCTCAATCGAACTGGACTTAAACGATCCTCTGGAAAGCCTCCAATGCCTACACCAGCAGTCTCGCCTCCTATCTGCTTTATAGTTAATGAGGCATTTTCTCCTTCTCCAATAGTAACTGTTAGTTCTCTAAACCCAATACTGAAAACTATAATGCAAGCAAGTAATAATATAAATACCTCATGAACAAATGACCTACCATCTTGATTATCAAGTCTTACTATTTGAGTGTCAGGATTTATTCTAACTCTAGAATCATTAACACTGAGTCTCCACCTAAACACTTCTTGTAATTCCACAATATTGTCCTGTGGCATCTCAAATATCAATTCTTCAAAGCGTTGCTCATTTACTGTTGCTGGTTGAAATACAACACTATGCGTCTCAGTAAAGTTGAAGAGGTCTAAATTAAAAGGAATGAATAAACTATAAAGAATTATTATGTCATACCAAAGTCTCCCACAGCAGCTTCATCAGGAGCCAATGGGCCAGTATACCTCTCATTTGAGACAGTGACTTCAAAAGGAGCTTCATATGCAATTATTTGACGTTCAACCCTAGCTGTAGCAGTACTACCTTCTAAAACTATTGATGGCTCTTGAAGACCAACAGTAATTACTATAAAATGAGAGATGATCACAATAAACTGATTCATTACAAGCTCACTGTCTATATCCTCTATTGTAATGCTAAGACGTCTGTATACAAGTACAACTCCTGATGGTATTGGTGGATCACCTGGATCAGTTTCAGCAGCAATCAAGTAATCAAATGAAAGAGTTGGTTGGAGAGCAACAGCATTCCCTTGTAAAAGATAGCGTATTCTAAACCTTTCTGGTAGGAAACCATTTGTTCGTCCAGCAAAATCTGTGCTTAAGTAGTCAGCAACTTAAATCAGAGAAAAATTAATATAAATTATTAAAGAAAAATTAAAATTTACCATCAACTGCTGGCTCTCGTGAAATAATATAATCCAGATCCCTAACATCAGGAGCCCCAGGAGTCTCAAAGAGAACATTAGCTTCAAAATTATATGTCCTACCAGCATCACTTTGTGCAATATGCACTTGTGTTTGATCAAAACCAACAGCTAGTGAATACAGAGTAAAATAAATAGATATGGCTCAAGATAATAACATTAAAATGATAAAACAACTCAGTGTTTGTGTTACAATAATTATCTTACCAACACATGCACCACACTGTGCAGCTAGTGAAGAATGAGATATATATCCTCCACCAGTTCTATTACAGCAGTCAATAGCTGCAAGACTGATTCCATTAGTATTACTAGTACAATCAGCAGCAGATGAATAACACTGTACAATCACATCCTCCTGTAATTGACCTTGAGCTAGTATACACAAAATAAAATAAAATAGCAGTAAATGCCTTTATGCTATAAATACAAATATATACCTCCAATCAATAGCAAAAGGAATGGAAACAGTACCACAAGGGCCATCTTGACTAATGAACATTGGCAATACCTTATATGGTCAATAATTTGTATGGTAATAGCTAGTAATGTACTTACTCCAAATTAGTTATTACTCAGTCAAGCCCTTTGAGCCAACCAACTCCTTTGATGGGATGCCAGAACACATGCTCACTTCTTTATCCTTAAAATGCACAGGCATGAGACTTTTAGATAGTTGTGCTTCCATAAAATACTTTTAGTTATTTCATAATTTCGTTGCTCTTTTAGTTAGTTCATACTGAGTTATTTTTCATTTTCTTAGGTACTTTTAGTTAGTTACAGTTAGTTTCAAAAAATTCTTAAAGATTTATAGTTGTTTAACTAAAACTAAATTTGGCCGGCTTTTAGTTTTAGTTAAAGTTAACTAAAACAATACTAGTGTGCACTGTGTATAATTTTATTTTCTAGTTTGAATGTACTATTGGAGGAATTGTTGTCATTCATCTTTATTTTTCATTATAATTTTCAAAACAATATTTTTAGTGGGAGTACTCAAATTATAGCCCATCATGGAAGTACATCACTCCTGCTATTTTGGTGGCCATATGAGTATTAGTCTCACATCTGTGCTCACTGCAACATTTCATAGTGACTGAGGGAGGAGCTGGCTACGCATGACTAATGGGCTAATGCATAAATCCCTATAGCATAAAACTATTGACTGTAGGCTGGGAAATGGCTCGCTAGTTAATCTTTTTGATACATTTGATTTTGTACTTAAATTAATCAATTCTATGTTTCAGGTTATTGCAATTCACATGATTAAAGGCATGTATCCATACACACTAACAATCAAGTTCAAGCAGTCATTTCTCTTCTTAACATGATCTTCACGCTGCCAAAGACTAGCCCGGTCTTTAGAAAAGTATCGAGATAGCGAGCCTAATAAAGATGTACTTGGTTTGATATGAATCTCATCAGTTGAGCTATTGACAAATAAACCAGAGCACTGCGGTATATCTAACTCTTTCAGATAATCAGCAACCATGTCATTCATTATTATGTCTTCTCCATTCATATTCTTGTCTATGAAAGAGTGAAGTGCTTCTGGAAGTGTATCTGTGAACATTTCAAGATACAACCTATGTATAAACACAGAGCCAGTGAGTATCATTGAATAATAATGAGGGTCTCGTTTGCCACAGTATTTATATTGTCTGTCTTGAAATGAATGAGATCTTGGACAATGACCAACTAGAAGATGAGGAAATGCCTACAGGACAAGAGATGGTTAGAGACAATAGACAAGTTTTCAACTGGTGAAGGAGCAACTATAATGGATGATCTGATACAATATACTCAAGCAATAAGTAATAGTTAATACATGTGGCGTCGTGTTCTATTGGATTTATCCGAATTCGCTTCCGGTCTCGTCACTAAAAATAGTACACTCGGCCTTCGTAGAACACAACACCACATGAATTAACTATTACTTACATCATTATGCTTAATAATTATGGGTACTATTAATATTGGAATGTAATAATTAGATATGCAATATATAGATCTACAAGTACAATTAGTATAGTACCCACAAATTAAATCTACTATGAGTAAAATTGTATATTTTGTACCCATGATTAAAAGTTACTCTAAGATTTTAACTACATAAATGCTGGCAATCATATAGTATCTGTATGATGCTACTATAATACTCCTAATTTGCTAAAAAAACATTTGCAACCATAATAGCAGCTAAATCTTTGTGCTGGTTAAATTAATGATTCATTTTATAGATTGATAGTCTAGCAATAATGAAGAGATTAAGCATACATGCAGTAGCCAACAAGACCTCTTCTCTTACCTGCCATGCAGCAAAACCTTCTTCCATACCATGAGGACCAACCATTCGATCATCATCAACTGAAAATATTACTACAAGAATGAAAATGATTATTACTTCACAGCATGCATGTTTTTTACACTACCTTCAGTCTCTATTTCTGGGTACGGCCTAAATCGTGACATTAATTTATTTCCTTCATAATCTTAATCTTCACTGGTACTTTGCATTTGAAATCCTTTATTGGACCAGGCACTGGCTCCCCAACATTATTCCACAAAACTAATATTTTATGTACATTGGAAATGTTGCAATAATGACTTATGACCGTCAGCAATTGAAGGTTACAGTTATGAGTTGGCATAACCACGGTGAATTTGTTCCTTGTGTAGTTTTTGTGATAGTCTAATGATGGATGACCATATTTAGGTTCTGATCGTCCTGTAGTAGGGAGGCTGCTTGTGTAGATCTTTGATGGAACACATTTGGGAACTTTTCCGCTTTCCGTGGAACTGAAAATTCATTATTATTATTATGTCATTATTATTATTATTATTATTATTAAGTACGTGGAAGCTGCACTGTCAAAAACAGTGCAGCTTTAATCTGCGAGATTTACTTGTTGGTCTTGTAATTAAAAGTCTCATATTGGTAGAAAATCAGCTCAGCAAAAAAATATTGCCAAAATAATATATAGGGCCAAGGATAGTAGTTACTGTAGTAGTAGTCTTGCTCTAACAGTGATCGTAAAATGGGATCATCCCAATTATAGCTCTATAATTAACCATAGATACTGCAAATTAGCTTTAAGTGAAAACCTTTCCCACCACTGATGTATAATTATTATTAACAGAATGAGTTCATAGACAAGCATCCTAAGCCACGCCAAAGTATGTGATCAGGTCTGATGTCAGAGAAACCAGTGAATGACCTTTCACTATACAGTGCTGGAGCTATACCTTTCTCACACAGCCCATGTGTTCAGTAAACATACGTACTGTATGGTAAAGGTCTTGCCATGCAGTTAACCTATAGCTTAGGAATGGTAAGTCAAGTGGTGGCTGCAATTAGTGAACTAACATTATTGATATCAAATGCAATGTGACATACTGTATATTACATATACTGCTGGTAACATAATGGTATGGTTTCTTAATGGTCACTTCATCATGACTCAATGGGCCAGTATACCTCTCAAGTGAGAGTGACTTGAAAAGGAGCTTCAAACATCATTATATGACTTCCCATAGTGGTAGCTACAGCATTACTATCTTCTAATAAAGGTTCGAAACATATTTATTATGATCCCTTTAGATCCACAGTAAAATTATACCAAGAGTGAAAAAATGACGATCCATTAATTATTTCCATTCCTACTAGATAGGTAATCTGTGGTCATACAATGATAACTTGATAGGACAATGACCATATAAGGCAATTGACTTCAAGAACAAACAGTATCAATTAATATTTATTGTTTATAAAAATCATTTTAAAATAATCCTTTAAAATCAGTTATTTTATCTTTAGTGGGAGTACTCAAATTATACGCCATCATTGAAGCACTGTCCCCCTCTAGTGGGACACACATTGTTGCTATGGACACGCTTTCATCACTCTCGCCAAAACTAACGCTTTTTCTTTTGGGCGTGGTCCTGTCTGGAGTCTTTAAAATAGAGCGAAGAGGAGTGGTAGGAACAGAGAGGTCTGAACTAAAAGACTCTGATTTGACAGGAGTTTTAAAACCAGCAGCAGCAAGAGGAGAGTAAGTGAGAGTCCTTGCACTGGCATAGGATCTTAAAATATTATCAGTGAACATGTCGGGGGATTGTGGTTGGGGCGGGGCTCGAGATCTTGTGGGTGTGGTTGGGTTATTAGTGGGCGTGGTGTCTGTGGTAGAGGGCGTCACCCATTCTCCATGTAATAATGAATGAAGGACAGCAGGAGAAGGATCCTTATTGAGTACTGGGAGAAAGAGAAAGAGAGAGAGAGAGAGAAGGGGGGGGGAGAGAGAGAGAGAGAGAGAGAGAGAGAGAGAGAGAGAGAGAGAGAGAGAGAGAGAGAGAGAGAAAGTAATCCATTATCTACTTAATAGTACAGTAGTAGTTTTACTAATTTAGTTTAGTCACAAAATTTAATTCTAGTGTAGCTTCATTGGCTTAGTCTATTAGTTTTAGTTTCAACCTTTAAAATTATATTTCAGACACATAATAACAAATTAAAATATTTTTGGTTAGTTAACTAAAGGTGAAAGGTCAAACTAAAAGTACAGTTCTATAATTTAAGCTATAGCTTTATTTAATTAAAAAACACAATAAAAAAGAAAGAAGCAATTAAATGTACATTGTAGAAGGAAATGATGCACATTTGTACACTGTACCTGTATTACCACTTGGTTTATATGGAGGTGTATTGAACTGTATGTCAGTCTGGTTAGTTAATTTTAATTTTGAGGAATAAAATGATCGTTGAGGTGATTCATCAATAAATGACACTTCTTCCATTGAGTCCAGCCCTAGTTTACTTCTAGTGGGAGAGGCTCATTTATAATTATCATAACAAGGTGTGGGCGTACCTGTTTCTTTGTAATTTGAAAAGACGATAGTTTTCTACTTGCTTCTTGACAGGTGTCTCCATTGCAACTACATCATCTTTGAGAAAGAAACAATTTACATGTAAATTCTCTGTCTGTCTCCCTCCCTCTCTCTCTCTCTCTCACCTTTTGACTTTTCCCTGTGTCTCTTCCTTCCTTTGCTGCTTCTCTCTCCTCCCTCCATCTTGACTTCATTCAGACTAAACAAGCTCCTTCTACAGACAGTCTCTACAATAAAATCAATATTTTAAAAATAAAATGCATAACTAATTGAACTCACTTGACGCATTATCAACCTAAACAATATACTAATAATTTACAAGAGTACACTAGTATGAACTGACTTTAGATTTCTTTGATATACTAATCTGTCTAGACAATGCTGGTCCTTGTAAACTGGCCCTTCGAGCTAAACTATAAAAAAAATAATAAATACAACTCCAATCCTGATACGAGGGCTGGTACCCAGTGTTCCTCAGTATTGGTTCTTCAGTGAATGACTCTAGTGATCTGGGACACTCTAGCTCCTCTTCCTCCTCCTCTTCCCTGGAGGCATCCCTGAACAATGGCACTGGTGTACGGGAACCGGAGGACGACGGAGAACCGAGACAAGGTGGTAGCGGCATCATCAATCCATCAAACACGCTTCGTAATAGATCACTAGTCTTTATACTATATCTGTTGAGAGACATTAATATAAATGGGCATTAATTAGAATCAGTAAATGGGCATTAATTAGAATTAGTAAAAAAGCATTAATTAGAAATAATAAAAATGAGCATTAATTAGAATACGGTACTACTTACTCTGGTACTATGACGTTTTCTAATAGTTTCCCTGCTGACGTTGGAGAGTATAACAATGAGTAGCTTCTTAGCAGCTGCACCAACTGCACAACAAATAAACAAGTAAATAAAATAAACAAGTTAATTAATAATATCATACCATTTCTGTTACATATTCCTCTTCCTCTTTCTTTTCAAAGTGATAATAGAATTCAAAATGGAGCAATATTTGTATAATACGTCTAAAATAAAAGAAAAAAGTTATTATAATTTTCTCCATCTCAGGATTGGGCATAATGCTTTATTAGAACCCAGCTACATGTATATGCATGTAAGGTGGTGGAAAAGTCGTAAGAATATTTTTACACCAATATGCTTAATAAAATGACTATAACTCAAAAATTTTATCAATATAGCATAGGAGAATCAATAAGCATCAGAAAATGCAACTTAAATTTGACGTGAATTCAGAGCTACATGTATTTTTCGAAAAAACCATAGGCTATAGCCTTGAGTATTTTCAAAAATTGGTCCGTTTTCAAAAAACGGCCATAACTCGAAAAGTTTGAGTCAGAATAAGCTCAAGCTATATATATATAGCATAAGGACATCAATATGCATTAAAAATGTAATAGAAATTTTTGGCAATTTTGGAGCCATTTTTCACAAAAAACCATGGATTATAGCCTTGGGTTTTTTATAAATCAATCATTCTTTTAAAATGGCCATAACTTTAAAATTCTAGTCGGAATCACCTTAAAATTTTCTACACAACTTAAGGACATCAATATGTGTCAGACAATGTAATAAAAAATTTTGATGATTTTTGAGCCATTTTTTGGAAAAAACCATGGGCTATATAGTACAGGGTATTTTTTAGAATTTTGGAGTTTTCTTAAAATGGCTGTAACTTTAAAAATTGTAGTCAGAATCACCTCAAACTTTCTACACAGCATAAGTACATCAATATGTATCAGAAAATGTAATAAAATTGAAGTCTGAATCACCTCAAACTTTCTACATAGCATAAGTACATCAATATGTATCAGAAGTCTAGGCGGGTAGGCAGACTAGGAGCATCAACCGACTGTGGCCAACACTCTGACGTCTGACTATCGACAAGAGTTGGGCATAGTGTCCTCTCTTAAACCAAATGTCGTTTTATTTAATCTCTCTCTCTCTCTCTCTCTCTCTCTCTCTCTCTCTCTCTCTCTCTCTCTCTCTCTCTCTCTCTCTCCCTACTTTGTTTCATTACTGGCCTCATCTCTCAATTGAGAGTCAGTCATTAGTACTCTTTGTTTGATCTCTTCCCACAACATCTCATTTGACATGGTCTCTCCATCATCATTAATAACTGATCCTTTACAAAATGAATTAACTGAAGCTTGAACTGACTGTAGTACGGACAATGGCTATTAGAAGAGACAGAAAAGAAAATGAAATGGTTAGTAAAAGTCAATTTTAATGTAGAATTACATCAAGTGAATCAATTTTTGACAGATTATCTGAAAAATCTTGTATAATGTCATCAAATTTAACAACTGGAGGACATTCTACCTCTAAAATAAAGAAATAATTAATGATGTACTATAAATCACACTAAATATACCTGTGTCACCATTATTACTTGTACATGTATCATCATCAATGAATCTAGGCGAATAAAAGCACTGTAGTTCTTCTAGCAGCCTTGTTGAGGTACGTGTAGTTGTTACTTTATTAGAATCATCATGGTAGCTGAAATAAATATGAAGGTGTGTGTTTGTGTATTTTAAAATTAATTGCTATTTTACTTTTTAATGTTATCCATTAGCACAGAGGGGATACCATAGTCTGGTGTTAATGAGCTCCATTGGGTCATCAGATCCCAAGAGAGAGGAGGGGGAGAAGAGAGAGGAGGAGAGAGCAGACTAGACCAGACATCATCTTCTGAGAGAGAAAGAGAGAGAGAGAGAGAGAGGGAGGGAGAGAGAGAGGGGGGGGGAGAGAGAGAGAGAGAGAGGGGGAGGGAGGGAGAGAGAGGGGGGAGAGAGAGGGAAGGAAGGAGTAAGTGAGGGAGGAGGGTAAAAAAGGGAAAGGAATAAAGTTAAGTAGAGAATAAGATAATAATAATAAGTACATACTTTCTTTCTGCATACAATGTACTGGTGTGAATATTTCAGCATCTGAGACTACTCTAGACTCAGTACCAGTCTTTACTACAGTGGGTGTGCCAATGGGAGGAGCCTGTACCACTTTATCATACACTGACGAATATATAGGGGAGATCTGATGTAATGTACAGGCTAGACTGGTCTGGGGCTGTAACACTAAGAGCACTTCATTCTCATCACTGGTTCCATTGAATACTTTTAGTATCTACATAAAAAAATTAAAAAATCATAATAAATATAATTATTAAAAAATACCAAAGAGCGCAAAAGTTTCAAAGGCTGTACATTTCACAGATTTGCAATTTTTTATAATTCGTGAAAATTACTTTCATAAAAATCAAATTATTATGATACACAATGGCAAACATCATAAATTTGTGAAAACTAAATCTGCAAAATAGATTTTAGGTAAATTTGTGAAATTCATAGCCCTCGAAAATTTTGCACTATACATTAATAATAAAAAATAATTTTTAATAAAATATGCTACACGTACATAAATATGTAGACACTTACCAATGAATATCTATTACTTCCTAGCCACACACACAGCTTCTTGAATCTCACTGATAATTCACTGCTATTACTGCCATTCACTCCAATGCATAATGCAGCATCATTCAGTACCAAGTGGTCAAAGGGGATGTCCCTGTTAATTGCTACCCAAATTGGTACTAACTGGAGCGAGCTGTTAGCGTATATCGATGGGAGAGATTGAGATACTGGGAAAACGTTAATGTAACACACCACAGTACCGTCTAGAAATAAAACAATAATATTATGAAATAATTAATAATTACGCAGTACAGTATAATTATTTTAGAACTTAAATTTTGTGGAAAAACAATCTAAGATGGAATACAGTGAAATTAAATCTACAAAGTAGATTTTGGGCACATTTACAAAATTTACAACTCTGTACAGAAATAATAGTACACATTTAGTGTTTTTGGTGTTTCGTTCTAAGTTTTAGTGAAAGTTATTTTATACATTAATTTGATATATTAATAATCCTTGATAAATCTGCTAAAACTTACGAGATAATTCTCCATTTTAGTATGTTCTGATGCATATACATGTACTTATACTGTATGTTGTATACATGTTTTAATCTGGTTCCAATCAAAATTGGATTTTTAAATTGAGTCTTATTGTTACTATAGGCATGGCAGTGTTACATGTACATGTACAATAAAAGTAAACTTAAGATAATAACTTACCAGTATTATATAACAGGTGGGGTGGGTGTGGCTTATAAGGTTTATTAGTAGTAGCTGGTTTATTGAGATATGTCTCTGGTGGTAGGAGCAGTGAGGGTGTGTCAGTAGGCGGAGTAATGGGAGGGGCCAGCAGTGCAGAGAGAGGGAGCACGTTACCTCCAAATGATTGTAAATATGACTTTAGAGATTTCAGATTAGAAGAGATCTGAGAGACAGAGAGAAGACAGTAATAAAATTATTATATTAATTACCTCGTTATCAGCAGTAGTGGGTGGTACCCATATCACATTAACTGTTATATTTTTATTAATTAATTGACTTTGTAGATCAACTGGAAAAGCAACATTTAAAACCGATTTGTCAAACGAGTCACCATCCACAACCTTCCTTGAAAACAACTCGGACATTAAGTATATGTGATTATTGATTGCATGAGGATCACCGGATGAATGTAAGGTCTTGCTCTTTCGTCTTAGTCTTTTAGACACAATAGGAGTATCAATTGTAGGGGCGTCCCACGGGTACCCCTGGACTGAGAGAGCCAATGAGTGATAGAGTTTGTTAGGGGTTTGGTCTTTTGGAGTATGGCTGTGATTAAGAAGCCTTTCCTTTAAAGCATGTAGGTTTTTCAACGTAAGGTCATTAAAAGAGGCTCTATTGTTATCATCAATAATTCTGTAGCTCCATTTGATCAAACTAGGAAGACTGCTAGAGTTTAGCAGTATCCTACAGGACAAGGCGAACAAGGTTTCTTTCCATTGAGGAAGAGGACGAGAGGACTCGGTATCGAGTATCAACAAGAGTTGTCTCCTAGCATCCATCTTGAGCCAAGCCTTTACAGTTTTCCCGCCCTTTCAAATTTTACCACGTGTTTGCACGTGAGTAACAAGTAGGTGTGGTTATAGGCGAGGTCAAAGTGTCATGGCGGCTCGTCGATCCACAATAAGAGGTGAGAGAACCAAAGAACCAAAGAATGTAGGGTAAGTGTTGTCCCGTTGTCTGTAAATATTGATCCTATTTGTGTAACTAGGAACTTCAAAATAGGCCAAGGAGCTGTTGTATGTACAGAAGCACAACTGACGGGAGATATTACAATTGGTATGTGTGTATATTTTAAATCCGGTACATATTAAAGAAATTGTGAGGTGATTCTGTTGACTAGTGCATGTATGAGTCATTGGCAATGTTGCTGAGTGAGCTGCTCATACATGAACTTCCGAAAATTCATAAAAAATCCAATTTTGATCGGAATCAGCTCAAATTTTCTACACAACATAAGATCAGGAAAAATTATAAAAATGAAGAATTCTCTCCTTGCCAATTTTGGCAAAATTTGGCCGATAACCCTGTACTATAGTACAGGTACTTTGGCTCAATTTTTAAGCAACTTAAAAAATTCGTAAAAAATCCAATTTTGGTTGGAATCAGTTCAAACTTTCTATACAACGTAAGTACATGTATATGCATCAGAAAAAATTATAAAAATGAAGAATTCTCTCCTTGCCAATTTTGGCAAAATTTGGCCGGTGACCCTGTACTATAGTACAGGTACTTTGGCTCAATTTTTGAGCAACTTTAAAAATTCGTAAAAAATCCAATTTTGATTAGAATCAGCTTAAACTTTCTACACAACTTATGAACATGTATATGTATCAGAGAAAAAATGTTAAAATCGAGAATTCTCACCCAGCCATTTTTCATGAAATACCCTGTATTATATAATATATATAGTACAGGGTATTTTATCAGATTTCGAGCAAAAAAATTAATTTAATTCCAATCAGCTCAAAATTTTTGTGCATTTTAAGAGCAAGTGAAATGCAACAGAAATGGAGAGTTCTTTCTTAGCCATGTACACCATGGAGCAGGTATTGCTAAGCAAGTTAAACGGCACGCATCATGGCCTGATAACAACTGGGACTTTTTACCAAAATCCTGTGGGAAATCTTGGCTATAAAAATGAGCCAATTAAAACTATGAAAAATATGACAAAATCTATGAAAAATGGAAAATTTCTATGAAAAATAAGGCATTTAAAACCATGCTTTAAGCTCACCATTCACTATTTAACTTTGTTGAAAGCAACTTTGTTGTTACTTTGATCGTATATATGGCAACACTGTTGCCTGAAATAGAAGTCAGTTCTATTTCAGGCAACAGAGTTGACAGGACATCAAAGTAACCACAAAGTTGAATGGTGGATGGTGAGGTTAAAGCCTAACATCCACTAGGCAACTTTGTAATTTTGTTGCCAAAAGTAGAACACTGTTCTACTTTTGGCAACAAAGTTGACATACATCAAAGTAACCAAAAAGTTGCTTTCAAGTTCAACGAAGTTGCTATAGTTGATGTTGGGCTTAATTACATGTACATGCATTTAAAAAACTTTTTCAATATATTTCAATTACATTTTTCTGAAGCATATCAATATCCTTATCTGTGACAAGTTTGAGCTGACTCTGATGACTAATTCTGTCATGTGTAGTTATTATTTTGCTGTGTAGTACATCAAAGTGTCTGCATGACATTTAATTAAGTTAGTCCAAGAGTACGTGTATGTCTACACGTCCTAATTCCACTGTGGCAATGCTTGTTACGGCATACCTTGTTTTTATTTGTAAACTGCTTGTAGAGTGCACGTGGGACATGTTTTTGTGGAAATTATTTTGACTGTGTGATTATTACCTGGAAAGTTGAAATAAATTTTGAATTCTTTGTGATTATGATTTACTTCATTCCTTGCAAGCATCATTTCTGTCTTTCTCTCTGCTTCTCCTCTCAATTATTTGAGGCATAGATAGACCAATTGGTCATTCCCCACTTCACTTCCTGTTCTTGCTCAGCAGTGGTGATCTTATACTTTTACATCTCTTTCCTCCATAAACAATCATAATTTTCACGTAATACTATATCAGTGTACATTGTACGTGTAATCTAAACTGTAATGCAATATCTATGCATGTGCATTTTCATATTTTGTCTTACATATAAAGATACATTGTCCATGTAAATGTATATCCACGCAAGGGACTTCTAATGATGTGCTTCCTTTCTTAATTAACACCAGTAAAGTAAGGAACGTGTTGATTAGTATATTCAAAACATTAACATATGGACCCACACACAATATAAATCGACTAAGGCATTTATTGTATTAATATTCACATGTAGTTCATTGTTATGTACATCTCCTAATGTGTTCTTGTGGTATGGTTGCTCTATAAACAATTAATGAGCCATGACTAATAGCAGTGGGAATGTGGTGACACTACTGTGATTGGTATGCCTGCTATTTACTATACTCCTAATAAGTATCCAGGGAATTAAATAAATCGAATAAAATTCAAATAACAGGCAAGATAAGAGAGGGACTTAAGTATAATGAAATTATCAATAGTCAGTAGTATAGGAGCAATTTTATTATTTATTTATTTATTCATTTATTTATTATTTTATTTATTTATTAATAGGTAGCCATACTGTGGTGCACCCAACTGCTGTGATTCATGCTGAAGGTGGTCCGGTTATTATTGGAGAGAACAACCACATAATGGAGAAAGCAGTCATCATTAACAAGTGAGAGAGAGAGGGAGGGAAGGGATAGAGTAGCCATGGATATTTTAAGCTTAAAGGCAGGTTAATAATTATAATACTAGTCCTAACGTTGCATTGATGCTGGAGTAGAATTTGGTTTTATTTTAGTGTAAAGCATGCGTCAAAAGGTCAAATTGCCCATACTTTTGATTAAAATTGATGGTACAGTACGTTGGCCTAGCGTCGTATCATAAACAAGCCTTAAGACCCTCCCACAATGCATCTTTGTACACAGCGAGTGGATGCTAAGTTATGTGGTGCTTACTCATGCTTGCTTTAATAAATCTCCCATGACATTGCATTGATCATTATAGATTACTACTACCTCTTCATTTCTAGCCACTTCCTCTTCTAATAGTCTTTAAAGAGATTAAGGGATTGGAGAGAGGGGAAGGAAGGGAGGGATGAAAAGAAATTAGTTATCTTAGGCTAGCCTTGTGTAAATATTGTTAAAGAAGTGAAAATTGTGTGATGTATTAATATTAATTTTATTTCAATACAGGAAGAGGCCAGATGGTGAGCCTGTAAAGCCACTGGTGATCGGTAACAACAACTTGTTTGAATTCCTTTCCCGCTGTGAGAGCATGTCTGTCGGATCTGAGAACATCTTTGAACCGAAATGTAAACAAGCAATGTATTTGTAATAATCTTAGCTATTCAGCAACCATCACCAAGTTTGTAATATTAGTTATTCAGCAACTACCGGTTTCACTAAGTTTGTAATATTATAGTTAATCAGTCACTATCACTAATAGTGTGTTCACACTACTTCCCCAGCTGTACAGAGCTGTGCCTAATTAGATTAGTTTGGTTGTAAAAGAACCATGTTGGTAGCAGTTCACTCTACACAACTTCACTTCAAAACTTAACTTCGCCATTTCAGAGCACCTAATTTGGTGCACCACTTTAGCCTGGTTTGGTTTGGTTACAGTGCAGTTCAGTTATGTTCACACTTGTTATAAAACTAGGCTATACTTCCCCAAAACCCAGTTCCAGTACAGTTCTGAATGGTAGTCTGAACAGGGTATAAGTATAATATGTAGAATAGTGTGTATACTAATATGGTATATATAATGTTTGGTATGTGACTGTGTGTATTTATTTTGTTTAGGTGTTGTTGGTGATAATGTCATAGTGAGTGATTATTGTGTGATTGGGTCTGAATGTAAAGTGCAGTCTAATGAGACCCTACCATCAGGCACTGTAATATCAGGGACTGATGGTAGGAGATGGAACAAGCAAGTTAATATTAAGGTGAGAGGGGGAGGAAGAGAGAGGGAGGGAGAGTGGGGGAGAGAGTAAGAGAGAGAGAGGAGGGGGAGGGGAGAGAGAGTATGTGTAGTCATGTACTCTTGGTGTAACCATAGATAGTATCTATGGTGTAACTAATGGAAGGAAAGTATGTGACAAATACATGTACTAGCTGAAATGAGAGGAGAGAGAGAGGGGGGGAAGGGGTGGATAAATTGGTGAAAGTTGATATAAGATAATCTATGTGGCTTGGAGGTGGATTATTTTATTATTATAATAAAATATACATGTATTTTCTATGAAATAAAAAAAACACTAAGTATATCACATGTGTGCATCACTTCATCACGTTACAAAATAATGTTGCTACACTATCCATTAATGATATCTAATACTATAGCTACTACTGGCCAAGAGTTGATTGCTAATAGTAGCCCGTGACTCTGCTCATGTTGTCATTTGTACTATACTTATCCTTAGTACATTCTATATTTGTATATTTTGTATAGCAAGAAAGGAATGATTAAGATGTTTGTACATGTGTTTTCAGAATTTTATGTCATCTGTGTTGAGCCTTGAGATCATGAGTGAGGGAGTGGAGGGTGAGAAACAAGGAAGTAGGAAATTTGAGCATTCCAATTAGCTTTAAACATTGTATTTTAATTTTTGTTTTATTTGATTTTTTTTGCATAGAGTGAGAATCATCAGCAACTGGAGTATCTTGTCAAATTACTCCCAAATTTTCACAGGACCATCAAATCAACTTAATTATTATTTTAACAAAATTACTAACAATAATAATGATGATTACGTACAATTCGGGTTTACATGTCTGTCAATTAATTAAATTAGGTGTATGTTAATTAATATAAAATGAAGTGATTTTTTACAAGTTATACGATAGAAAAACGGACCTTTGATGTAGGAGTGAATACATTATCATTATCATCATTGGCTGGTGGAGACCCATTCCTAATGGAGCCATTCAAAGAATCGGACTTCCTCTCGGAATGATAAGGATTGGAAGAAAAAGAGAAAACTCTTGATTTTGTGTATGGAGTGGACTCGCTCATTTCTGGTATATCTTTGATAGTGGAGCGAGATGCTAGCCTCATAACGGATTGACTTGCCCGACGGATGTTAGTCTTAGTTTTATCAATACGAGTCCGTAGCTCTTTGACAAAGAGCGATTCGAGAATCGGATGAACGAGTGGATTAATGAGATAGAAAAACCAACAGACTAAGTATATCCAATCAGGCACTCCTTCACCATCAGTCCCTATGAGAACAAACAGCATTGTTAGTAAAGGTACCCAGGCTATGATGGTTGCTATTAGTAAAGCTCCAAATACTTGCACTAGCTGCTTCTGCTGTTGCTTGATTTGAACTTCTGCTTCGCTTTCTTTTCTACTGAGTGAAGTGAGTCTGCTCTCTCTTCTCCTCACCTGTTTTCTCTTTAAGAACGAGAGTATAATCTTAAAGGTCCATATGTTTGTGATAATGATTACAGTTATTGGTATGAGTCCTTCAAGGAATACAAAACCCATATAAGTAGGTGGTATCCATCTTGGAAGGCACAAACCAAAGTTACGATTGAATTCCCACTGACCAAAACCGACATTAAAAGCAGGCGGCATAGAGATAATGAGGCAAAGAAGCCAAACCAGTACTATGAATAAGACCCATAAACCCACTTTACGATATCTTGGGTACTTCATTGGATTCGATAAAAGTATGCACCTATCAATGGAGAGCAAGGCTAGGGTATGCACTGATAGAACTGTGAGGAAGATAAAGAAGAATCCTTGAGTGTCACAGATAGCACAACGTATCTGGTCATTCCTCCCTAGTACAAATTCTCCATTAGCTGCAGTGACCACAATGGGGCCTGGCACCACGATGAGACATATCAAGACGTCCACGATGGCTAGAGTGAATAAGAGGATGTTGGCTGGCTCCTTGAGTAGCTCTCTCTTCAATATAAAGACTACAATTATGAATAAGTTCCAACCAAGAGCCACTGCTAATATCAGGGACTGTATAACAGCGCTTGGTATCCCGCCATCTACAACAGTGTCCCTCAGCGACCAGAAGGTCCTGTTGGTGATTCCATTAGGATCCAGCTCAGATTTCAAGCAGTCGAAATCAGTGTAGTTGGTCGTGTAGTTGCTTGTGGCATTGAGGCCATCATCTCCTGAGCCGAAAAAATCCATGGCTGGGCAGCAATAAGCAGACTGTGTACACAGGCTGAAAAAGCACTAAGCAGCAGCTTATGAATAGAGACTAGGGAGTAGTCTACACGTGACCTTTTCATTTATGAATTCATTCATTAATGAAGCACCTACTTCCTTTGTTATGATCATGACAATCATTTAATAAAAACTGAGAATTCTCCAGCTGAAAAGTGAACAAAAAGTAATAATGCAAGCAGTGATTACTGTCTGTACTTTTTCACTTTACAGCAGATTTGTACTATTAGCTCATACAATAACTAAAGTTGTACAGTTGTAAACTGTTAGTTTGCACAGACTGGCTTATATATTATTCTTCTAAACTAATAATACAAAGTTCAATGATTTCTCATTAAACCTATAATTGGAATTAATATCATAATTACAAAGTGCTCCGGCACAGTCAAGCATTCACTAATGGCATAAGATATTAAAATTAAGGACATTACTAATACAATCACACACCATCATTGGTCAACATTACCACATGTATACACGGAAAGTAAATTCTTAAAATTCTCCCAAGCTATAATCATTATATCTGATGTAGCTTGTTGTTGTTGTTGTAATGGAAACTGAAAATACCGTTACATTTAGTTTGATTTCATTATTGTAATAGTCTAAAACTGTCAAGTTAACAACTAGAAACTGCACTGTAAGATTATATCTATATCATGGACTTAAGAAAACATTTTTTTAGAAAATTATTATCAAAAGATAAACAGCAAATAAACAGCAGCAACCTGTATAGAATCCATCTCATAAACCAGTTATGTACATAATGTCCATGTACATATATGTCCATACCCCTTTATCATTGGCTATCTAATAATGTCTTCCATACAGAGCCAGTTGGATAGAGATAGGCCGCTCTGGACTCTTCTTTCATCTCTCCAGAGTATCCTGGGAGACTAGGAACCATGTAACATCCGTCCTTAATAACAACCGGATCAAGGAAATGCTCGTGAAGATGATCTACATACTCAATGACTCGTCCTTCCATTGTACCAGACACACATACATAATCAAATATGGAGAGATGTTGTACGAATTCACAGAGGCCAACTCCACCTGCATGAGGACAGACTGGGATGCCAAACTTTGCCGCTAATAGGAGGACGGATATGATCTCATTGATGCCTCCTAACCTACAGCTATCAATCTGACAGTAGTCCATAGCTCCTGATTCTAAAAACTGCTTGAACATCACACGATTGTGACAATGCTCTCCAGTAGCTATACCAATGCCCAGTGGACGCAATGCCCTGCCAATCTTAGCATGGCCCAGTATATCATCAGGAGATGTGGGCTCTTCTATCCAGCGGAGATTGAACTCAGATAGAGCCGTCATGTGACTAATGGCTACATCGACGTCCCATCTTTGATTGGCGTCCGACATTAGAGGTGTGTCAGGACCGATTTCTTTTCGTATCACTTTAAGACGACGAATATCGTCACTGACATCTTGACCGATTTTGACTTTAAACATTTTGAAGCCATCGTCCAAAGCCTCTCGACAGAGTGCCTGTATCTTTTCATTGCTGTAGCCTAACCAGCCAGCTGATGTAGTGTAAGCAGGGTAACCGGTTTGCTTTACGCTTTCAATCCTCTCTCTACGTGAAGGATACTGCTTGTGTAGTATTGCTAGTGCTTCATCCTTTGTAATAGCATCAGAGAGATACTGCCAATCAATTAGCGATATAATCTCCTCGGGACTCATGTCTGATAATAGCTCCCAGACTGGTTTACACTCTATCTTACCCCAGAGGTCCCACAGTGCATTAATGACTGCAGCTACTGCTAGATGTATTGCTCCTTTCTCTGGTCCTATCCAGCGGAGTTGTGTCTCACACGTCAGACTGTGCCAAAACAAAGCAAAGTCAGTAAATATATCAACCAGTGATCTGCCAACTACTAGCGGCTCCAGTGATTTTATTGCAGCACAAACGATCTCATTCCCACGACCAACAGTAAAGGTTAGCCCATGACCCACCAATGAGAGCCCTCCTGCGTGTATTGTCACGTATGCTGCAGAATAGTCGGGGTCCTTGTGCATAGCATCCGAGCCATGGGCCTCCAGTGATGTAGGGAAACGAATATCAGACCAATGCAGCTCGGTGATAACGTTCTCTGGTTTCAGGACATTTCTAAAGGTCAACTTGGAAGACATGTTTTAGGAAAACGCCTCTCTTGGCAACAGAGGAACACCCCCTTCTTTGCATAAAATTATATGAAAAATGGCTCCCTTATTCTCCAGATTGAAAACCCTCCTTTCACGTGATGTTATCATTTCTTCTCTCACTGCTAGAGATGTAAGGTTCCCAACTTCAGCCTGTGGAACAGGTCATGGCTCTGACGCTCTACACAAAGACCCTAACTATTCAGCAGCTTATGCAGTTTTGACTGCAGCTAGCAGCAATAGTGAAGGTAGTAAATAGACCTCTTTGTGTAAAAAAATAAGGCAAAAGATTATAGTAATTTGTGTGGCGGTTCTGTTTACTATTTGTTCACACCTTGTCATGCAAGCAAAGCTGTTGTAATTATAATTTTATTCACTAAAACATTATTTTGTTAAAAATTATTTTTTATTTTAATACAGGAGGCAGTCTTTATAGTGGCCATGGATTAACGTTCACAATAGGCCGTGGAAATGAGGTTGTTTGTGCTGCAATAAAATCACTGGAGCCGCTAGTAGTTGGTAGATCACTGGTCGATATATTTACTGACTTTGCTTCGTTTTGGCACAGTCTGACGTGTGAGACACAACTCCGCTGGATAGGACCAGAGAAAGGAGCAATACACCTAGCAGTAGCTGCAGTCATTAATGCACTGTGGGACCTCTGGGGTAAGATAGAGTGTAAACCAGTCTGGGAGCTATTATCAGACATGAGTCCCGAGGAGATTATATCGCTAATTGATTGGCAGTATCTCTCTGATGCTATTACAAAGGATGAAGCACTAGCAATACTACACAAGCAGTATCCTTCACGTAGAGAGAGGGTGGAAGATTTAAAAGAGAATGGATATCCAGCTTACATTACATCAGCTGGCTGGATGGGGTACAGTGATGAGGTTGTAGAGGAGCGACTTCAGTCTGCTTTAAAGTCTGGTTTCACTAAATTCAAGATGAAAGTCTCTCGTGATCTCTCAGTTGATAAGCATCGCTGTGAGCTGATTCGTTCAATTCTTGGTCCCAACGTTCCACTGATGATGGATGCTAATCAATGCTGGGATGTGGATGAAGCAATAGCTCACATGACAGCTCTATCAGTGTATAAGCCATTATGGATAGAAGAGCCCACATCTCCTGATGATATACTGGGCCATGCTAAGATTGGTAGGGCATTGCGTCCACTGGGCATTGGTATAGCTACTGGAGAGCATTGTCACAATCGTGTGATGTTCAAGCAGTTTTTAGAGTCAGGAGCTATGGACTACTGTCAGATTGATAGCTGTAGATTAGGAGGCATCAATGAGATCATAGCTGTCCTATTGCTAGCTGAGAAGTTCAAAGTCCCTGTCTGCCCTCATGCTGGTGGATGTGGGCTCTGTGAAATGGTCCAGCACTTAATGTTCTTTTACTACATATGTATATCTGGTAGTAAAGAGAGCCGACTCATCGAATATGCTGATCACCTCCACGAGCACTTTGTGCATCCAGTCACTGTTAATAATGGATGCTATCTTTTGCCCACTAGTGCAGGGTACTCTACTGAAATGAAGAAAGAGTCAGTAGAAGAATATTCCTATCCTAATGGACCTGCATGGACCAAGACAATATCTTAAGTGAATAAAAATTATAGATTATTTTTGCAAAAATATTTATTCTTGCTTAAAGAGGAGTGGCTGGCCTGCAGCACACACTCCCTTCACCTTTGCATTTCAAAATGTCCCACCTCCTCTTTTCTGGCCTAAGGTCTCTCCTTTCCCCTTCTTCCCTCATCACTGACATCAAATGTCAAGACATTAGGTTCCAGACGCCAGAGCTAGCTGACTCTGTCCACACTCCTCATTTCTCAGTTGCTTATGTCACTCTCACTGCCAGTGGAGTAGGAGAAGGGGTTGGCCTAGCATTTACTCTTGGCAGGGGAACAGAAGTCGTCTGTTCTGCTGTGCAAGCTCTAAGTCCGTTCATAGTTGGTAGATCTCTTTTAGAAATTTACACAGACTTCTCTTCTTTCTGGCACAGCCTGACCTGGGAGTCACAGTTGTGCTACATGGGGCCGGAGAAAGGGATCATGCATCTAGCAGTAGCTGCAGTCATTAATGCACTGTGGGACCTCTGGGGTAAGATAGAGTCGAAACCAGTCTGGGAGCTATTATCAGACATGAGTCCCGAGGAGATTATATCGCTAATTGATTGGCAGTATCTCTCTGATGCTATTACAAAGGATGAAGCACTAGCAATACTACACAAGCAGTATCCTTCACGTAGAGAGAGGGTGGAAGATGTGAAGTGTAATGGATACCCTGCTTACACTACATCAGCTGGCTGGATGGGATTTTCTGATGAGCTTGTGAAGGAAAAAATTAAAAGCTCTCAGGAAGTTGGTTTCACTAAATTCAAGATGAAAGTCTCTCGTGATCTCTCAGTTGATAAGCATCGCTGTGAATTATTTCGTTCAATTCTTGGTCCCGACGTTCCACTGATGATGGATGCTAATCAATGCTGGGATGTGGATGAAGCAATAGCTCACATGACAGCTCTATCAATGTATAAGCCATTGTGGATAGAAGAGCCCACATCTCCTGATGATATACTGGGCCATGCTAAGATTGGCAGGGCATTGCGTCCACTGGGCATTGGTATAGCTACTGGAGAATATGCGCACAATCGTGTGATGTTCAAGCAGTTTTTAGAATCAGGAGCTATGGACTACTGTCAGATTGATAGCTGTAGATTAGGAGGCATCAATGAGAATATTGCTGTCATGTTGCTAGCTCAAAAGTTTGGAGTCCCCGTCTGCCCTCATGCTGGTGGCTGTGGGCTCTGTGAAATGACACAGCATTTAAGCATATTCTACTACATATGCATCAATGATAAAAGAGAGTCACAGATGCTTGAGTATGCTGATCACTTGCATGAACATTTTGTCTATCCTTCAATAATTAAGAATGGATGCTACATTGTTCCAACTGACCATGGCTACTCTACAAAGATGAAAGATCAGTCTCTGCTTGAGTATGAGTTTCCTAAAGGGATAAAGTGGACATAATATTTATTTTGAATTAATTTTGTATTACTGCTTACCTTTGGATTTCCAAAATAGATTTTGCTGCTGCAATTCTAGTTTTCAATGATTTTATTTGGAAAAATAAGCGTAATAAAAAACACAATACATTATTTTAGAGAAATGAAACTCAACACAAAGCAGGTAATAAATGTATCAAGGCATGTCAGTATTAAAATCATTATTTCTTCTCGATCAGGAAACTCAGTTTCTTTTTAGTATCTGAGAGGAGGTTCTGCTGATCTCTTGTTGGTGACGAGGGTCCTTTAGCAGGTGTACCAAATGGAGTACCATAAGGAGTGAAGTCATGTTCGTCATTACAAAATCCTTCAACTGAGATTTCTCCCTAATACATGTTTTAATTGACATTACACAATTGAGCAGTACCAATGAATATACTGTTTAAGTGTTTTTTTCGAGGAAATTATATTTCGGAAAATCTTCTAATTTTCCGATTTACAGATTTTAATTTTGCAAATTCTACCATGTGCCATGTGGGTATTGTATTATATTGACTTTCCCGGATTTTATTTTCGCACATCAGAAAGGAATCTGCAAAATCCACGAAATTTGCAACCTTTGAAAAAACCACTTATACAGTACCTACCTTTGGCGTCATGAGATGGTTTTGCTTATTGCACCAAGTCACAAAACACCTAATGAGAGATAGAATGACAATAGTGTGTGTATTTACTTTACTTTTTTGCAAGCTCCAGGCTATCAGCATCTATTTTTTTGCAATATACTCGAATGCTCTTCTCAACAAAAGTGGCAGGGAGCATCTGAGAGACTTGATTCCTACGGACTTTAAAGGCTCTATTCGGCTTATGCTTAACATAAAATCTCATCTGATCTATTGGATTGCGCTCCTTCATGCCATAATCAAATGTAACAATCTATGTACAGAATTTAATGATTCATTAAGAGGAAGATTTGTTGAATTTCCCTGGCGTACTTTAACGTGAAGGTCAGATTCGGTTAGGCCACAATCTGGTCTTGAGTCTAATATCTGATCCTTAATCTCCTCCTATTAGTAATAGATATAATACATGGACATTTTTGTACTGAAATATAAAGGATCTTTAAGCAAGAGTACATAAAAATGATAAAATTAGTATAGACACCCCAAAAACTAAATTAGTACATATATCTCATTAATAGTAGACTTCAAGTAACTGTAACTTTAAATGCATTAAGGCTGATTCACAACACATTTAACTTAACTTAAGGTAATGCATTAAGTTAAGACAGGAAGTGCTGTATGAACCAACGGCCAGAGGTAACTTAACGTAAGGACTCCTCCTTACGTTAAGGCCATAGGTTTATACAGCACTCCCTGTCTTAACTTAATGCATTACCTTAAGTTAAGTTTTAAGTGTGAATCAGCCTTAAAGCATGCATGTACATACATGTATAAAGCATGTACAATATAAACACTCACATTAGAACCAGCAATATCAGTGGATGGTTGTGTCTGTCCTATGCATTTGTACAACTGCCTTTCTTCTACTCTACATAACAAAGCCTGAGCCTTATAAGGAAAGATACATAATAATAACAATAAAGACAGGAATAATCATAATGTATACCTGTTGAAGTTTAGGGTTAGGAGAGGTCATGATGACATGCATAATGGAGTCATTGAGATTGGTATAAGCAACCATATCATTGACAGCATCAGACATTCTAACTAAAGACCTAAAACATGATGAGCCAATGGTATGGACATGTAACATCAAGAGGTAATATACATGTATAGTGATAGACTAAGTACATTGGCTTTTTGAAAAATTCAAATTTTAATTGGAATCAACTCAAAATTTCTACATAACATTGGTATCAAAAATGTAATAAAAATGAAGAATTCTTTCTTAGTCAATTTTGGCAAAATTTAACCAAAAACCTTGTACTATAGTACGGGGACTTTGGCCTGATTTTTAAGCAACTTTAAAAATTCGTAATTTTGATCGGAATCAGTTTAAACTTTTTACACAACATAAGCACATATACATGTGTCAGAAAACTATAAAAATGGAGAATTCTCTCCTTTTAATTTTTATGAAATTTGGCCAACGACCCTGTACTATAGTACAGGGACTTTGGCCCAATTTTGGAGTAATTTCAAAAATTCGTAAAACATCCAGTTTTGATTGGAATCAGTTCAAACTTTCTACGCAACATAAGAACATGTATATGCATCAGATAAAAATATGAAAATGGAAAATTCTCTTGTCAATTTCGATGAAATTTGGTTGGAGACCTTGTACTAGAGTAAACAGGGATTTTTTTGTCAAATTTTGAGCAAATTAAAAAATTGTAAAAAAACAATTTATGATTTGAATCAGCTGAAAGTCTCTAAACAGCATAAGTACATGTATACGTATCAGAAATTGCAATAAAAATAGAAAAAAAAACTCTCCTAGCAATTTCCAGAAAAATACCCAATACAGAATATTTGACTACATTTCTGAGAAACTTTAAAATTTGTAAAAAATCCAATTTAATTGGAACCAGAACAAAATTAGCACAAGAACATGTATGTGCATCAGGAGATGTAAGGTGTGGTCATGCACAACCTTACCCATCCTTTCCTGGTATCAGTAGGTGGTCATTAGCAGCAAGCAGTGCTTCAGTTAACCTGTTCAGGAATGATAATAACTCACTCCTCCTCTTTGTTACTTACATGATTTCAACTGCCTGTGAAGTCTTGTGTTGATATGCCCTTCTGTGAAGAGCATTGCGAGTGTGAAACATTTCATACAAATTACCAACCTCCTACAATAAAATTAATTCATTTTTTGTTGCTTTGACTTTCTTCCTATTCCCATTCATTTCTCTCTCTCCCCCCTCTCTCTCTCTCCCTTACTTTATCTCTACAGCATATCTGATACACTCCATCAACTTTAATGACTCGTGCAAACTTCATGTACCTCCGCGAGTCAAAGCTGTTTGGGATACCGAGACAGTGACAATCTCTGGCAAAATAGTCCCATTTATCAACATCAACACCATTCCTCTTATTAGCTACAATCTAATGGAATAATAATAATAATAATAATAATAATGTAAAATCATTTTATTCATTATTTATTCTTTTATTATTTCATTATTCATTCATTCAAGTATTATGTTTATTTCTTAGAATTTTATTTGGTTTTTATTATTCTTTGATCCATTATAGTTGTTTTGTTTTAATAATAATAATAATAATTATAATAATAATTATTATTATGACTATTAATTCTATTATGTGCATTATGTTTGTTGTCTTTATGATAATATCAAGATTAAGGTATTATTACTCTTGATGATAATAATAATAATAAGAAGAATAAGAATGTTAAAGTATAATTGTTTAAATTTACATTTACAAAGAGATTATGCCTCCCCATTAAATACTATTTGCATCAATATGCAAATGTCATTACCAATCCTACTTTATACCACACCTAATAAACACAGTATCAATCCTATATTGTCTGTCGTGATTGTTAACATGTATGTTCATAGTGATAATTAAATTATTATTATTATTATGTGTGATAAATACAAGTTAATTCTTTTCGGATAATAGTACAATAAATGACAATAAACACAAAAATCAATCATTGTATAATGACAGTAACAATAAAAGAATCACAATTGAATAAAATAAGAATTACAGTCATCTAGGGACATGATAGTGTCCCCTTGCTTTTTGACCTCCACTTCCATCACTCTCAACTGGATGACTTCCATTTTGAATTCCACTAAAACTTTTTCTTTTCCTTCCACGCCGACTTCTTCCATTCTCCTCATGCAGTTTGTCTAAAAACTTGTGTATTAATTTAAGTTGCCAGCGTTGATGCTGCGATTGGTGTCTTCGCCCCACTTGTCCTTTCTCTCGGTTCTCATTTTGTTTCATCTTATCAAGTTGTCCTGTCAAAATCTTCACAATCTTAAGGACTTCTTCAACCGGTTCTCCTTCATAAATCATCCTGTGCAATTCCTCTACATGTCTTTTACGTGAATCACTCTCATGACATTGTTTTTCTTTTGCAACAGTTTCTTTAACAGTTTCCTCATCATGGTGACTGGTCTTGGATGGGGGCTCGCTATGCGAGGCTACATCGTGACTGCTTCCTTCATGATTATTATCATGATGAGACTCCATTGATCTTTCCTTTTCTTCTTTATTATCTCTGACAGTTCCAGTTCCAGTATCACTAGCTGTAGAAACAACAACAGGTTCTGTGGCTGTGGAATCAGATTGAGATTCTTCAGTTTGATGACAGACTGCAGTGTCATTATTGCATTCAAGGACTTGATCAGTACTAGGCTTTTCACCGCCATTTGACTCAGATTGAAGCTGCTGTTCCAGCATGGCTCTCAATCTTTTCTCCATTCTATACTTCTTATTCATCCTCCTACGTTTTTTGGCTGAAGTCTTCCCCACTTTAGGCATTTTGAACGAGATTTCAAATCATCACACACTCTTGCACTGATGAATAATTATTACTATTATAGCAAGGATAAACCAGTAAGGACTTCCACTTATAACTGCAGTACAGTCAGCCCTTCCTATAAAGCCCAGCACTTTCAAGACAAATAGACAGATCCGCTTGAAGAAGAGAACACAGAAAATTAGCTTGTTCCTTCCACCATTTAATGTCAAATGCTTGACCACACCCATAGACGCGCCCACAAGTAATTAAAAACATACAAACTTTACCTAGATCTTGCTTTGAGAAATGAAGTAGAAATTGCTCTTTTCACAAATTTTACACAATTATAGAGTTGAATAAATGGTGGATGCTTGCAGCATCAGCTAATTCCATACAGTTATATCAATGATATATAAGTGGTATCATGTAATCCCGAATTTTAAGACAAGGTACTGTGAGAAGTCTGGCCCAGTAAGCAGCAGTAATTCTCTAATACCTGCTAGATTGCAAAAGTGGTCGGGCAGCAGCAGCTATTTTAAACATAAAGGGTCTATCTTATTACCAGTGTAATGTATATTGTATACGCAACTAATTTAAAAGTGATTATTTTACCAAAAATACAATACAATATATTAGGTATATCATTCATTAAATTTTCTTACTTCATAAAGGAAGCTTTTCTCTATGCTTCTACCTTTATACGGCCATGAACTCTCTCCTTCTTCCTTTCCTTCTCTATCCTTGTCATCTTCTTCTTCTTCTTTTAAAGGTCCAACTATGAGCTCCTTAATGAAGATGAGGTCTACCTCAGTTAGACCGTGTCTTGTAAAAGCTGGCCAAAGTTTGTTAGCAGCAATGAGGTGATCAAGCATATCAACAGAGCCTCTTTCATGCTGTACAAAATATAAAATGCTGTTATTAAAATTACTGTGTTGAGCTTGCTATTTGGTTTTATACATATACTACTGCTCAGGATCTCCCATAGGATTTTGGCATAGTCCTCATGCAGCTTCTTGTCAGTGGACTATTGTCAAGCTGCTCAAAAATTGGGCCAAAGACTCTGTACAGAGTACATGTATTTCGACAAAAATCACAAGGAGAGAATTCTCCATTTTAATATTTTTTCTGACATGCATACATGTCCTTATGTTGTGTATCAACTTTGAGCTGATTACGATCAAATTTGGATTTGTTATGAATTTTAAAAGCTGCTTAAAATGCCACATACATGTATACTATAATTGTAGTACTTGTCAGCTCATGAAGCTCATGCTGTTTAGCTCACTTAGCATGCTTTGTAATAATAATAACAATAATAACAATTAATAATAATATTAATAATAAAAATTAAACAACAACAATTATCATTACTATTACGACAATGTATTATTATTATTATCAATAATAACAAAACATCAATAATAATAATAATAAATTAATAATAATAGTAATATATTATTATTATTATCATTACAATTATCATCTCACTTTCCATTTTGGAGTTCCTGGTACTTTTGGTATAAAATGTAAATCAAACATGTGAGAGAAAGGACCATGGCCAATATCATGACAGAGTCCAGCTATCTTCACACACAGTATATCAACTGGAGTTATTGACAGCTCTGGTTGACGCCTTTGAAGACTCTCAACAAATTCGCCAGCTAAATGACTCACTCTATTAATGACAATAACAGAAGATAGCAAGAATATACAATGGGGTAATAGTAATATGTTTTACTAAAAGCAACAAATCAATATTATAATTTTAGAGGGCATGGAAATGAACACTAATAAACAAAAATAGCTCAGGGAAATTTCTACATTACACTTTTCTGATGCATAAATAATCTTAAAAAATCTTATTTTGTATATAAAGTTTGAGTTCAATCCAGTATACAAGTATCAGCTATTATTATAATAGTATACAATGTGAAAGAATTCTTCATTAATGTTACATTTTCTGATAAATACATTACCATACTTACCCTAAGCTATGCTCAAACCTGTTGTGAGCTGCTCCTGGGAATACATAATAACTGCCACCTAAAGAGAGAGAGGAGAGAGAGAGAGAGAGAGAGAGAGAGAGAGAGAGAGAGAGAAAAGGAGGAGAAGCATAAGAGAAGCTAGGGCACCTTCATTTTTCTTTTGCATACCTAGCTGCTTTATATAACGTAGTCTCTGGAACTGTCTTGTATCAATAATGGACACCAAAAGTGGATGAAGATCAAAATGGCCGTGAATAGGATCGTTAAATACCTAATAATAACATAAATAGCAGAAAGTTATGAGGTCTTCTATACATGCAACTATAATTGCTCCAATTGAAGATAAGAACAATTGTGATAAATGCAACCATAATGATACCATCAAATTACAATAATGACAGCCATGAGAAGCAACAATTAGCAACAGAAACATTTTTAATGCTAATGCATCATAAAGTGAGCTTAAATCTGAGGTGGAGGATTTTGCAGAAGACTAAGCAAGCACAACATCATGGCTTTAGCCAAATTTTTAATAAACTTTAAAAATTCATTAAAAATCCAACTTTGGTTGATCAAACTTTCTGCACAATACAATCCAAAATAAGAACAAATTGGAATAATATTCAAAATTATTGTAACGATAATTTTTCTGTGATTTTCCATCATCACACACAAATGTATCTTATTTATACATTGATTTTGTATTACAGTGAGCAGTGTACTATTTTACCTTCTCATTCGCAGGTGGTGGTAAAGACGATATCCATTCAATAATATCTATTTGATCACCAACAGCACTTAAAATTAATTAATAATTAAATTAATAAAAAGATTATTTAAAATTAGGCCGGTACTTTATTCCCATCTGTGCCAGTGTAGAATGTGTCATACTGTATAAATGATGACGTTTTATTTTATTAACTATATAAATAAAAATGATAATAGAGCACACAGTGACAATTAAAGCATTACTACCTTTAAAGGCAGTTTGAATGTCCTCATTGAATCCAGCATCACGCAACATTGCTGCTATCTCAGTCCCTTCCATGCCCTCCTCTCCTGACTCAAGGGAAAGTATTTCAGACAGCTTTGGAGGCTCAATAACACCTGTCCGCCTTCTCTTTGCCGATGGGGACACACTCATTATTTTACAGTTTAGTGAGTTTACACTTTACTTTAGTACATACACGTGGTTTAAGTTCCCGCCTCCCAGATTCCCGCTATTTTGATTGCATTTGCTCTGGCGCATGCGCAAAAATAAGGTTATACCCACGTGTGATCATGTGCAATCCTCCTGATAGAAGGCTGCAGGCATAATATCTATGCTGCAGGCAACTTAGGCAAGAAATGGATAACGCTCTCAATTTGGATGATTTAGAAGAAAAATACGTTCGATTGGAGAGGAGGAAGGTCTAAAAGATTGATGTATTCAGCATTTGTTGCTTGGATAAGACAAAATTGAGGCTGCTGAAAAAAAGGGAATTACCAGTAGACCCTCCTAATGTAACATGGGAGCTGGAGCTAAAATTGTTGGTGAAGGGTTTACCTATTATTTATGCTTTTAAGTCTTACTAAAAAAGGATTAAAGGAATTTGCTAGACAGTTTCAGAGGATCTTACAACAGTTCAGTCAATCTGATATGCCTGATGGTCAATCCTTTGATATAGTATTGGAGCAAATGAAGTCCTTTTCAATACCTTCAAACAATTCCTGTGTTTCTATAGCATAAAGCGAAGGGGTGGGGACAAGACTACTATATTGCATGTGGTTCGATGTTACATTATGTAGTAGCAACCCTCAGTTGTGGAGTGAGGACATACCATCTCTGCCAAATTCCCAGATCTGGCGTCTCTCCAAAGTTCCCGACAGTGCTGGTTCACTTAATGTGAAAGTCGATACTGTATATAGCTAGTCTCGCGTAGCCAGACCCATCCCCCTTTTTGGCATGCCAAAAAGGGGGATGGGTCTGGCTACACAAGACTAGTATATAGCAACAATGATTACATAATAATTTTCTTTTGATGCTTTGAACTTAGTAATAACGTTGATATTGTAAAATAATTAATTTTCAATGATCTATGATTTAAAATCTTTATTAGCTTTTGAAGTGGCATTGCCTGCATGAGGTTTTAAATTGAAATGTAATGTAACAGTCTCCTCCCTTAACACATTACCAGTCAGAGGTGAATTCATACTTGTGCCATTTGGCACATCCACACAAAAGTCATCTTATCTTCTAATTGTCAATCATAGCTTTATTTAATTTGTACTATGCTATCTAAGGCTTAGCTATTAAAGATACCCTCAGATTTCTAGTGATACTAATGCAATAAACTGTCGGGTTATAAAGTCCTACTTTAACTGAATGTACTTTCACACTTATTAATTACTCAACACTTCATGTCTCATGCATGTATCTGCAACACAATCACACTTTCTTAACACTACTATTGCTCAATATGTACTGATACAGGCTTGCCCAAACAGAACATTCTAGGACTTAATTGAAGCTAATTCTGATTTTGTATATAACCACACACAATCTTGATTGTCGTTATTGTCAATTCAGTATCCATAGTTCCATATTGTCCATATTATCAATATTATTCATGCATATTGTTATTCAGTATCCATATAGTTGGCTATAGATCTATTTGTACTACCTGCCACAACTACACGTATACTGGTACATCTACATCAGTATTACTCTATTTTAATTTGCTATTTTAGATTTCAGAATTAGCCCAAACATGTACATACATGCATACTGTTTGATGTTCACGTCAATGTGTAGTTAGTCTGGTCTAGGCGGCCAGACTAGGGTGTAGTGAAGTCACACAGAGCCATTAATGTTTTTCCAGTTATACCTCATTTTTTATGCAGTTCTCACACATGACCTGTATTAATGGTAGTTATAATATTAATGAGAGGTGAAAAGTTGAAAATATTTGCTGCCAAATTAAAATCTTAGGTATATCCAATACATTATACTGAGCTAGCTTTTGTTGGCAAAAACAATCAGCATGTTTTTTTAACCTTTTGATCTGCTAAATCATATGCCATACCATACATCAATGCAATTAATACAATACAAATACTGCTCTGTGTTGTGTAGAGTAGCAGTCCTGGCAAAGCTATATTGCCCTTCCTGCCAGATCAATAGTGAGATCACAATAATGTTTACAGTGCTGTATAGCTACAAGCAGTTTTATTACAAACAGTGGAAAGAGCAAGTTTAAACTATTTGTGCGCAGCATTTCTGTAGAATAATGACAAAGGAAATTGCTGACAATCACTTGAATGTATTTGTGTACACTGCTACAGCAGTAAGCATAACTTGTACAATCAACATCGTAAATCTAGTAACAATTACTATTAAAAAATAATTAAAAAAATTTAGTTGGTAATTGAGTAGTATAACAACAAATACGACGAATATTCAAATAATTTGTTAGTGCATGTGAGTGTGTCAGTAGCATGTATGATTAGTCTGAATCTGATACAGTTTGATCAATGTCTATTGCTATTTCTCCAGCAGCTTTTATTGAAATGAGATTGCAAGGACCGTTGTCAGAATTCACGCCATTAGACTGTAAAGGGCTAGAGATTTTATTATTAGCAGTAGTAGTAGCAGTAGTAGTATCATCATCATTATTAGCATTATTAGCTGTAGTTTCATGATGACTATCATTATTATTATTATTATCGTTTTCGTTTCCACTCACAATTGCACTGTCATTTGATGAAGAAGGAGAGGGAGAAGGAGATCGTGAGACAGTACCAGAGTCCCTATCCTCCGGTCTATATACGTCCTTTTCTCCCGGAACAGTTATACTTATGTGCCTCTTCTTTTTCTTTCCACTTAAATCAGTTATAGATGACGCCTTAGGCTTTACATTGTTTTGCGACTTCGCGATATCGGTTAAGGCTAATTGTGAGTCTTCGCTGATTCGAGGAAGAGCGGCCGAGACCGGGGTCAAGAGAGGAGAAGGAGGCAAGATCTCTGTCCCTATTATATTATCCTTTGGCGAAGAACTTCGTCTATTTCTATGAGGGAACCTCCCGGAATTAGTGAGGGTGTTAGCTCTCGTGATACCCATAGGACTATCAGGTGGGCTAGCATCAGTCATTGAGGTATTCACTGATGCGTTGCCTATCGATTGACTCGTGGATTTCCTTTTCAAACCGAATACCCTCCTACTTTTCTCGGACTCATCCTCATCATTCATTGTTGGTATGTCCTTGAAAGAGTCCAGGGTAGCCATTTTAAGTATGCTACGACTAGCGCGACGTACTTGCTGCTTCACGCTATTACTTGCTCTGTTCACGCGAGTACGTAGTTCCTTTATGAAGAAGGACTCGAGGATAGGATGGACTGTTGGGTTGAGAAGGAACATAAACCAACCAACAATTAAAAGCCAGGCCGGTATGCCATCCCCGTCAGTGGCAGCTATAGCAAACGTGAGAGAAAGGAGTGGAGTCCAAGAAATGATATTAGCAATAAAAAGAGCACCAAATACCTTTACCAGCTGGTTCTGCTGACTCCGGTGGGTCGATTTTTCAACTGCCACCTCTTCTCTTGTCGCACGAAATGATTTCTTCCTTTCGAGGTTCTTTTTCAAGAACCTGTTGACAATTTTGAAGGTCCAAACGTTAGTAACAGCTAGCGTTATGATTGGTATCAATCCTTCAATCATTAATAGTATCATGTATAATGAATTACGAAACGGTGTCCAGCGCGGTATACAGACTCCGAAAGACCGATTAAACTCCCATTCACCGAATCCAAAAGCAGGAGGGAGTGCAAGCAAAAAACAAAAGACCCAGATGACAAGTATTCCGACGACAGTCGTCCAGACTTTCTTAATGTCCTTGTATTTGAGTGGGTTTGACAGCAATATACATCTATCAATGGAAAGGATCGCTAGGAGGTGAAGGGAGAGCTCTGTCGATAATATAAAGAAGTATCCTTGGACTTGACAGATTATGCATCTGACTACGTCGCTGTTTCCAAAAATATACTCGCCATTGGCGGCGACAACTATTATGGGGAAAGGTATGATCAATATGCAAACGAGAAGATCCACAATTGAAAGAGTAAACAGCATAATGTTAGCAGGCTCTTTGAGCAATCTATACTTTAATAAATATGTTACGAATATGAACAAGTTCCATGATAGTGCTACAATGAATATTATGCTTTCGAAAAAAGCAATTGCTATCGTCCCACTACCAAGGTTTCCCCGGAAAGTCCAGAATTCTTGATCTGTGACATTGGTTGTGCTAAGGACTGACGTTCTGCAGCTGAAGTCGAACTCTGTCTCATTAATCAAGCCATTTCCTGAGCCAGACATGAGATCATCATCCATTTTCAATAAACTATAAACAGAATAGACAATAATAATTAAATAATCTGCTAACATGTATAGGGTTTGAGATGACAGTACACCTACTCACTGAGCCCACTCCATCATGCTTAGAGTATTTCTTATTGCTTATCTGCTCACCCTCCCTCCCTCTCTCCCCCCCCCTCTCTCTCTCTCTCTCTCTCTCTCTCTCTCTTTCTCTCTCCTCCTCCCCCTCTAGCTTTAATGGACTCATGTTTTCCATTTACACAAATGTATAAACATTTCCACATCAGAGATTACATAAGTCAAACAATGCTAAAGCAACCACTGCATCCAAATGAACACACAAACAAGTACATGTGCATGTATCATCACTGTACTGTACTGTCCTAATATCCTCCTACACTGCACCCTCTATTAATATCTGTTTGTTTTACATTGCATACCATGCATTGCACAACATAAGCACATACACACACACACATGTACATTGTATATAGCTTAATTTTATACATGATTGACACATACATTTTTGTACATGTACATAAATGTAGACATTCGCATGACATATGAAAAATAACCACACAATATATGTTATCAGAGCCACCAGCCTTAGTGTAAATATTAGTGAGTAATCAATTACTTTTTCACAATACACAAATATCATTTAATTTTAGTAAAAGATTTTAATGCTTCTTCTGATAATAATACATAAATCATCTCTGCCAATCAACACATGCATGTACATGTAGTTAGCAGTATTATGCTGTATGTGACAGTGTATGATTAAAGGTTGCTGAAAGTACAATAATTATGTTGTACAGATAGTGATTCATTATGCCCCATGGCAGACACATACACTCTCATGTGTATTGTTGAACATATGTGCTTTTATCGAGAGAGGGAGAGGGGGAGGGAAGAGGAGAGAGAGAGAGAGGAGACATGTAAAAAAAGTCAGTCTGCTCTATGCCTATTTACACCATTAGCTGTCACTAAAATCAGGGGCAGCTAACAGACAGGACAGACTTGCAAAGGTCAATTAGCTCATACACACTCCTTGGACTCATTAAGGAAACTTCCTAGTTCCTACTTCATGCATGTACATGGAGCCAAGCTACTTTATCAATTACTACTACAACACATAAAGTGACAAGATTAAGAGAGCCAAGTGTCTTAACCATTCATGCAGTGAAATTTAAATAGCAAGCCAGCCCAGGGCCCTTGTTTATAAAGTTTGTTTAAAACAGCTGCAAAAGTAAGGCTTTGTGGGTTAAACCTCAAGCTACTCTCTAGGCCTCTCTCTCTCTCTTCTCTTGCTGTTAGCTTGTAGTCTATCTAACAATTTACAAGCATCAGACAACAAAAACTTACAAGTAAAAGGAGGGCTCGGGCTGAGCGTGGTTCGCTTTAGTCTTTGCCGCTGGAGTATGTGTAATGGAGCAGAAGAGAGAATCACAAAGAGATTGACAGAGAGAATAGAGGGTAGGAAGTGAACCAAATAACAACAGTTTACCTGCGCAGTGTCTTTAAGTTTTTGCTGTATACGAAATGGCCAAAGGGAAATTAATCACAAGCTCCACCCAGAAGTGACATGCTATAGCTCTCCAAGATCAACATTATGAATACAAATAAACTCTTATGTCATTTTCCTGTCGTCTAGGAGCTGAAAAATATTGTCTGGCGATGATATGAAATGTAAAATAGTTAATAAAGTAGTTACTTTGAAGTACCATGGATCATAGGCATGCATGTAGCTGCTACATTGTAGTAGATCTATATCATGAATGTAAAATTAAAAGTACGTACAAATAATGTTCCACTAATTATTGTTGTTATTTTGTAGCCATTAATTTTTTGGATTTAAAAAACTCCTGACGGTGAGATAAAAGCGAGGATAAAAAGGTGCTATAATTTATCATTATAATTATTTTAATTAATAATAAATTGAGAGAGTCATGTGATTTTAGTTGATTAGTCAAAATGGCTGCCGACTGAGTCACTCCCTCTTCTTCCCTCTCTTTCTCGCTGCCCAGGCCTGTATTGAAATCTAAAATGGAAGTTGCCCGCCCCAAGAAAAAGACTAAAGCTAAGAAGAAGACCCGTAAAGTCACAGGTAAGATAATAAGTGCGTGTAGCCCCAGATAATGTATAATTTTTAGAAGAAAAAGCCAGTGAAAGAGGTTTGGAACAAGATACTCCAGACACTATTGAGGTAAGATGAGCTATAAATCTATATAATATGCTACCAGGAGACTGCTACCTCCCATCACTGTAGCATACATGTGCATTTATTTTTAATTTATGGATGATTAGATATAATCCCATGAAGCATAAATGTGTTTAATAATCATAATATCAATTTGATGCATATTAATTTTACTCTCTTGTTTGATCAACAGCACCTGCTTTAAGCATCAGTATGATACACACGCACACTTGTACATGTACATGTAAGGCATTGATTCCTTCATTAGCAGTACAGCATCACCACTTGACCTTTGACTAGAGGGGAATACCCTTAAGGATTTTAATCTCATTAAGTTTGAACTCTCCATCTCTCCTTGTGTGTCAATAGCCTCACCTTTGCTTTGTGCAGTACTACACTAATGTAGATTTATGCATCTAATTATAATACTTGTCTGCTACAAACGAATTTTTATAATTTTTAATGTGATGACAGTTTGATGACTGTGCTATATACAGTAAGTGTGTGTAGTATCTTTACTAAACTATTTTTGGAGCCGTGTGTGTATTTGTGTGTGTGTTCTGCCAATATCATTTTACTATTATTATTTACATGTACATGCACATTGCGTTACATTGTGTATTTAATTGTTATATAAAGTCCATGTGATTATGTACATGTACATGCAATACCTGATGTAATGTAATGCCTGAGTCCCTTGATATCTGCCCTCAGCTTCACCTCAAGCAGATATCTCAATCCTCAGGTATTACATTACTTGCATATGTAGGCCAAAACCATAGCTTATGTACAAGGATTCAAGCAATATCAAATACCTGTACAATGTACATGTACAAACAGTGCATGCATTTTATTCATTCATTTCATTCTATATTCATTTCTGTATTTATTTATTTATTTATTTATTTATTTATTTATTTATTTAGACTAATGATTCAGAGTCCACTGGTACCCATCATGTTCTTCCTCCTTCCTCTCCCTCTCTCCTGTCGCCTCCTGATCTGCCTACTCTACCAGTCATTGATATATTTGATGAGTCAACCCCACCAGTAGTACAAGAACCAGCAATACAAGAACCAGTAGTACAGGAGCCAGTAGTGGCTACTGCTACCACTAATGAAGGTGATGATGATCTGATCCAGTTCGATGTTGCACCGAATCAAACTCAACAAAATCTTGAGAATTTGCCCGAGGAACATTGCAAAGATTCTGTTGATGTTTTACCGGATGCCATTCAGTTAACTAATGAATTGACCATTGAGACTGCTAGTGATGGAGTAAGAGTTGATAATGTTCCATTGCTAGTTGACATCACACCTGAAGCACCTCCTCCTACTACCACCAGTGATGTACTAAGCAATGAAGGAGCTACCACAGTAGAAAACGAATCTAATATTGAAGCTAATACTGAAATACATGTAGATACCGGGGCACATGTACATGTACAGAATGTAAATACTACTACTGTAGCTGTAGAAGAGGTATTGGAAGAACCAGCTGTATTTGCACCTCCTAGTGAAGAGACTGTATTGCCTACTGCTCCCCCTACTCTGATGTACCCTACACTGGATAGCCTTATAGCAGGTAACATAACTTTGTGTTTTTGTGGATTGGTATGTATGTAATATGCCCTTGTGTTATTTGTTGCATTCATGTAACTCAATTGTGTGTGTGATTTGTGTAGTAGTAAATTTAATTATTTTGTTGCTTTTTGTTTCGTTTCCTTGCATTTTTATGTTTGCAGTTTTGTTCTTGTTACTGATTGTGTTTGGAATTTTAATTTTTAAATGACCAGCTCACTCCTTCCTGCATTCACTTAACTCCCTCCCTCTCCCCCCCTCTCTCTCTCTCAGCTTCATCAGTGACAGAGTCAGTGTTAATTCCTTACTCTGAAGAAGATCTCTCTCTTCTGTATCCTAACCCACAGTTAGGAGCTAATACAGAATTTATTGATAACTTCATCAAAGTAAGCAATCAATGTACATGTACACGTACATGTACACAGGAGGCAGCTAGCATACATGTACATTATACCTGTGTATAATTGTGTATAAATGCATTGAGATACATGAGTATATTACATGTATATGTACATGCATGTACATGTGCCTGGTTTTGGCTCTAAAGTAAAGCCATTGTAGCAGCTAGTCCATTGATCTAATGCAGTATGTATAGTTGTGTGTGTTCTGAACTTACATACATTGAAACTCGAAACAAAATGAAAGAATTGTAAAGTATAAGATTCTGTATAGTGTGTCTATAATGAAAAATGATGAATTCCAAAGTTTATCCAGAAGTTCCTCTATATATTTAGGGAGTGATTCTTTCAATTGTAGTTTATTTGGAAATGCTAAATTTGCTGGCATGTCCATTTGTTTATTAGGAAAGTCAACAGGATAGCCATCCTCTGTATGAGCTATTGAAACAATACTTGAAAGCAAGACTGTCTTCAAAAGCGGCTGAAGGAAAGCTACAGGTATAAACATTTATGTATAATTATTTATATTTATGCTTCCCATCTCTCTCCCTTTCTCTCTCTCTCCCTCCCTCCCTCTCTCCCTCCCTCCCTCCTCCCTACCTCCCCCCTCCCTACCTCCCCCCTCCCTCCCTCCCTCCCTCCCTCTCTCTCCCTCTTTCAGAATTTAAAAAAGGATTATTCAAAGAACAATGATATGATATGGACCATTACCGACAAGAGAATCAGTTCTAATGTAATAATTCTAATGCAATAACAATAACTTATACAATTAATTTAATTAATTAATCATATCAGTATGTACATGCATATGTCTGTCAGTATATGTACATGTACTATAAATGAGAGAGAGGGAGGGAGGGGGAGGGTGAGAGAGGAATAGGTTTCATTGTTACCTTTTGTGATCTCATTGTGTCTGCATTTTTACACACATGTCTTGATGTAGTTGTACAGCAGACATGCCCCATGCCCCATGCATGGGCATGTAATACTAATACTTGTATTCTTATCGTTGTTATTATTATTATCTTGTTATTACAAAGTAGGAAGAATTAGAGTTGAAAGAGGAAATCATATTATTTATTATTATTATTATCATTATTATTATTATTATTATTATTATTATTATTATTATTATTATTTATCATTATCATTATTATTATTATTACTGTTAATAATAATAATAATAAATGAGAGAAAAAGACAAAAGAGTTGAGGCAAATAAAAATACAATAAAATAATTTAAGTCATACAATGCTGAATGTTCACAATAGATAAAATTAAGTTAGGGGTAGGTTATTATTACTGTTATTATTTATTTATTATTATTATTATTTTTATTTATTTATTTTAGGGAAGGTGTGCAGATGGCAAGAGCATTAGTCACAGTCACTCACATAAGTTTGCTCAGCTTGATGCTGATGCTGTTTTTAGAACTGAAGATAATCTCAAATCAATAAAAACTGCTTTACAAGAGGTATACTGCATGTACATTATACACATGTATATACATTAAGAGAAATTAAAGGATTGATATTATTATTTACTTTATGTACCGTACAAGATGATTTATCAGTGAGGAATTAATATTGGCAATTGGTGGTTTTATGAAGAAATCACCAATATAAAATCTGCCATTTTGTTTTAATTTGAGCATGCTCAATGGCACGTGGCACAAAATCGCCAATGTAAAATTCACCAATTAACTTCCACAGGCAAATTATCCAAATAGTACTCTTGCCAATAAATCATCTTGTACACTATCTCCTTTTCCCTCTATTTTTATTTCCTTCTTGTTATTGTTGTTTTCTGTTCCTCCAGGAGTACACCATGTTATCCTACTCTGCACAATTAGCTTACATACACGTTGAGTTTTACATTCACCAGTTAATCAACTCTATGCCAGAATTAGCTGATATGCCACAGACAGCTCCTATCACAGGTAAACAACAACAACAAATAATAATAATAATAATAATAATAATAATAATAATAATAATAATAATAATAATAAAGATATGTCTATGTTTTCTTAATTATTTTTATGTCTTTGCTTATGTGTTTGTTCACATGCATGATTGCTGGTAGTGATTCTAGTGAATGAGGAACAGTGATACTAATTGGTGTTTGCTTTGTTGCTGCTCACTCATTTGTATCTCCTTTATTTTATGCTTTTGTCCTCCCTCTCCTCTCTCACTCCTACTCTATCCTCTTCATTCTTTTCTCTCTCCCACCCTTTAATTTATCCTGAGCCTTAATTTTTATCATAATGTACAATTCATATCTTAAATTCCTACATCAATAATCATCTCTCTCTCTCTCTCTCTCTCTCTCTCTCTCTCTCTCTCTCTCTCTCCCTCTCCCTCTCTCTCTCCCTCCCTCTCTCTCCCTCTCCCTCTCTCTCCCTCTCCCTCTCCCTCTCTCTCTCCCTCCCTCTCTCTCCCTCTCCCTCCCTCTCTCTCTCCCTCTCTCTCCCTCTCTCCCTCCTTTCCCCTCTAAAGGTTATATCCCATATGTACCCCCTGGTTCAATGGATGATTACACTTATGAGTTAAGATCCTGTATATCAGTCTTGTTCATATTTGAGAGAAGGCCATCCAGAGACCAACAGTTTACATCAAGCTGTCGCAACTGGCTCAATACACTAGTGAGCTATAGCTACTTCTGTGTACATGTACTGCAGCATTAGAGCTAACTGTTTTTGTTTACTTTTATTGAGTGTGTTTTTTAAATGTGTGACATTGTGTGTACATATTTAAGCTCATTAATGTAACTATACTTGTATGTTCCCAAAGTGCATACATACATGTACATTAAGTACACTTAATCCTTTTGCATTAATATATACATGTATGTATAATGTACATGTACACATGTTTACTGCATTATACTGTCCTCAATGCTGTATATGCATATAGTGCCTTCCACTTATCTAATTACAAGTGTAGATATTTTTGTTTATTATTTATTTATTTATTATTAGATAGCAGCGTTGTTGAGGGTTGCTTCCTTACCAGATCACCAGTTTGTTCTTAATCACATATTGAGGTGTCCCCCTGGTGTGGGCCAATGGGCCATTGGTTATATCCAACCTTTATCACCTCTGCAATATAAAGGAGTCGTGAGACAAAATAACAATAATCATGACAGTAAGAACCTTTTTTTAGATATTCTGTATCATCTGCCCTTATACTACCTTATACAGGAAGTTTTGGAGGAATTGAATTTGGCATTTTGATAGCCATTCGCCAAAATGAGAATCTGCCATTTTGAGCCATTATACGCATGCGCACGTTGCCAAAAATTCACCAATCACCAAAGTTTAGCAATTTGCCAAATTTTAGTCTCTCCAATATAAGTGTATATAATATGTATAGGTGTATAGTGGGAAAGTTTGAGATGATATTAGCCTCTGTATAATGGACATTTTGGGACAAGAAAGTGTCTCTGTTATACAGAGGTGTCCTTTATGTAGAGGTTAATTTATACAGTAAGGAATGTAATTTGGTACACTAGGTGCTGTCCATTAAATGGAGGTGTATGCTATAGAAAGTGTCCATTAAGAGATGTTCTTCTGTATTTTTTTCTGGTTGAGTAGTAGTTTAAAAAACAGAGACTTTGTTGATAGTCTGGGGTACATATACAATGTAGTCCAAGCCTTTTATAATAATGTATTTATTCCCAAGAAATGAAGCAGCTAATGTCTGCGGCCATACCACGTTGAAAGCACCAGTTCCCATCTGAACACTGAAGTTAAGCAACGTCGGGCCGGCTTAGTACTTGGATGGGTGACCGCCTAGGAATCGCCAGTGTCGCAGACTTTTTTTTCTCTTTATTTAACACTTAAATTTTTCATTTTTTTTTTTTTAATTAACTCTGTCAATGCCCATATTTACTTACTGAATTTTAATAGAAATGTGCCATGTACATGTAGCATTGTGATTAATTAATTAATTATTTATTAATTTATTTATTTATTGAATTAGGAAATGGTGTTTCTATGGAATGGAAGCTATCGTCCCAGGATTACACGTGGGACGGTCCCATCATTGATCACTGGATCACAATGCTCTCCACATTATTCCAACCTATAATGTATGTTAATAATAAAATGGAATCACTCCTTTTAATCACATGTACATGTACATAGTACATACTGACATGTATTGCCATTTGATTTTATGGAAAATAATAATTTTAAATAAGATTAATTTATACCAAAACCTATAATTATACATACATGTACATGTAAATAAGATTAATTCATGCCAAAACCTTGTGGCATTCTATAATACATTAGTGCAGTTTAGTTGCATGTACTAGCTATCACGTGTTATGACTAATTCTCTACATGCATACATGTACATGTATTTAGCGGGAGGGAGGAGTTCCTCTCTTTCTTTTCTTCCCCTCGGCCAGCGACAGGAGGAGGAGGAGGAGGAGAGGGTGTGGATAGACAGGAATCACAACCTTGGACCTTTGTGGAGGAAGATGAAGGGCAGGTAGACAGAATTTTATTTATTGTTTTATTTAATTATTTATTGGGTATTTACCATGCAACCAGAAATATTGGATAGAGTTATACAAAATTTGACAATTTTTTGCTAAAAAATTCTAATTGCTGGATTTATAATGTTAGCAATTTAGCAGCCAATTAAGTGTCACTGAAATTGCTCAGAATGAAGCAAAGTTGTGTTGGTGGATAATCACTGCAATTAATACATGTATTAATTCCCCACTACTATACAGTATTATGTTATAAGTATACACTATGTAGACAGTTGTGCATGTATTTGCATGTAGCATATCTGTATGTATTAACTATTATCATTATTATTATTATTATTATTATTATTATTATTATTATTATTATTATTATCATTATTATTATTATTATTTTATCAGGATCATCAATGTTATTATTATTACTTGTATTTAGTAGTGTTGTGTTGTGTCTTAGGGTTAATTCCTTAGTTCCATTCCTCAATGAATTTCAATATAGTCTGGTGATGATGTAATGTGATGCAATATGATGTAGTAATGACTAAGGTTATATTTATAATACAAAACAATGATTTAAAATAACACAGTATAGACATAAGTTTTTGTTACATACGTGTACATATATCATGTGTTTGTTTGTTTCGTGCTAATTGATTATTTCTTACTAATATCAATTACAGCAGTATCATTGGCACTTCCTTTACTCCACACACACGTACACACACACACACACACGTACACACACGCACACACACACACATACACGTGCACTATGCATACATATCTAGTTACACTATCTCTCTATGTTAGAGTATATACATGTACATGTACATGTACATGTTAAAGTGATACATGTTGTGTTTCATTATCAAGAATGATATGTGATATACGTTAATGATTATTATCTTATTGTGTGTATTAATTTGTTGTATTATGTAATATCCTCTTTATTTACACATTATTAGTAATTTCACTCACCTGTGTCCACTGTATCCTGTTTCCTCTTCTTATATTATAGCAAAAATACTTCACTTTATATGCACATGCACATGTACCAGGAATGGTGTCGATTACAGACAAAAAGATTATATTTCCATCACTGTATTACTTGTAAAAATATAGCTTGTTATGACCGGTACTATCAAATTACTATTTCAGTCCACTGTATCTCGATTACTATTCTGTACAGTGCAAAATTTTCAAGAGCTATAAATTTTGTGAATTTGCCTAAAAATTTATTTTGCAATTTATTTTTTGCGAATTTATGTCACCTGCTATCTTGTTTTGTAGCAATTTGATTTTTGTGGAAGTAATTTGGGCAAATATTGAATCTTCAAAAAATTTCGAAATTTGCAAAATTTACAGCCCTCGAAAATTTTGCACTATACATTACTATTATTACATATTACCCCATCTCTGACATGCACATGTACATGTACATGTGCAACATGTGCATCCTTATCCTCTCTACATGTGTCTCTCCTATAGGATTCCAGTGCTAGTGATGAGGTACATCACTTGATGTTGAATGAGTCCGACTTCATATCAATACTCGACCAGTTCCCCATAACTGACGTATTTAAATGTTTACTTAACGCCAGAGAAGGTAAACAAGGATCTACATGTACATGTACATTTATGATTATATTTTTTTATTCATGCATTAATTATTGTTATATGTGTGTTACATGTATTTTCCTGTGATGTACATGTACATATATTATATATAAAGTGAATATTTTAATTGTAGTGTACCAAAGTATGATGCACAGAATTTAAGTTTGCACACAGTCAAACACATTTGGAACATATAGTACATACTTGATCTGTGTTTGTAAACATGAAGATTTTAATACATAAAGCTTGATTCCTATTTTAATAAAATTAAGTATCAATATTACAGTACCTCTCTCTGCCTCCTTTCCCAGGTCAGTATGCAATCTCGCACATAAGCAGCTACCAAATGTTACAGTTCATCTCATTCTGCACTTGTCTCATTCGCTTGTTTGGTCGCATATTCTCAATATTGAGACACTCTTCGTACAAAGAGTTCATCAAGCAAGTTGGAAGAACCATACGACAGACAGTGCAATATGTGGCCGATCACTGGTCCTCTTATAAAGCATTGAAACTGTCGGCTGGGGACACTATGAGTTGCATGCCCAGTGGGGAAGACCCTGTACTTAGGTACTCGTTGGAGAGACTCCAGATAGAGTTTGATCAGTTTGTATTGAGAGCTACACAATGGATACTAACAGCTCATAAGTGAGGGGGAGGGAGGGAGAGAAAATTAGAGAGAGAAGGAATTAGGAAAAAAGGGAAGAGAGAGAGAGAGGGAGGGAGAGGGAGGGAGGGAGAAAAGGAGAGGGGGAGGGAGGGAGAAAAGGAGAGGGGGAGGGAGGGAGAGAGAGGGAAAAAGGGAGGGAGAGAGAGAGGGGGGGTGAAGGAAAAGAGAGCAAGATATTACTTGTGTAAATACATAAGTACATGTAGATTAACTTATTGACATTCATTTTTTTTCTCTTTACTTCTAAGATTGGGTGCATGGCAGTTCATGGCAGACATGCCCTATGGTTCAATATCAGGACTCACACTATGGAAGATACTGTGGACACTCTACCACTATCAGGTGGCATCACATAGGGACACTGGTAATGATGGGAGGGAGAGGAGGGGCAGTGTACTAATGGATAGAACTGACCTTGATCTAATACCAGAGAATGTACCTGACATTATACAATCTATTAGAGGTAATATTTAGTATAATATAATATGTACATGTATACATTTGTTGTACTGTATTGATGTAAAGACAGAAATACATGTAGGGTTTGATGTGATGTTTTGGCATCCCTCTTAAAATGACTTGGAGAGAATATCTTCATTTTTTATTACATTTTCTGATACATATTGATGTCCTTATGCTATGTAGAAAGTCTAAGCTGTTTCCAACAAATAATTTTCCAGTTATGAGCATAGAAGTTGCCTAAGTTTTTTAGAAAGATATGAGCTTTATGCCTCTGACAAATCCCATGACTCATGCCAGCCCTTTGGATAAAAGCAGTAACTGTACATGTATTATATACATGTACATGTAATTAAGATTGTACTGGATATATCTTAGCCTTTGAAAGCTCCAGTGCCCTATATAAATGCATTGCTACATAGTAGCTGAGGTTTGCTACTTACATTTTACTTTGTCTAGTATACTGTATGTACATGTACATGTAATTCTTACATGTATTATTAAACTATTTATGGTGACTATATTTATTTATTATTTCTTCTTAGGGTCTTTATGTCATGCGAAGTTTGTTGATATCCTAATGAAGACCTTTACTTCTGAGGTTATATTTTTACTAACAACATTTGTCAACATGGCCAGATCCAGAGATGGAGAGAAGGAAGAGGAAAAAGAATTTATTAATTTTGTAGCACAAGAAATATTCCAAGTAAATAATAATAATAATAATAATAATAATAATAATAATAATAATAATAATTGTACCAGTGCTGCAGTTTTGGGTACTGTAATATATTCTCAATAGAAGCCATTGTTTTTATTTCATTTTTAATTTGGACAAAGGATTCCGTTTGAGTGATCTATATTTGATGTACATGTACATGTATGTACATGTATCTGTATGTACATTTACGCACTGTTGTATTTTCTTAGGGCATGTACATGTATATGTATAGCCTTATCTTTTGGCCCGTGGCTTCTGATTGAGACAAGCTTTTATGAAAAAGGCTTCTATTTAGGGATTGTCAGTGTGCCATCTATGACACTTTGAACTGAGTACAAATAAGAAATTAATTATAATAGTGATTAATTAAACATTATTATTAGTATTATCATTACTAGTAACGCAGTAGCGTTACTAAGTAGGATTTATTATAAGAACAAAAGATAAAAATAATAATAACAATAGTTTAATATTATTATTATTATTACATGTATTTGTCCTCTGTATAGTTGACACAGGTTGAGGAGTATGCTCGTGATGCTTACAGCAGATCAGGTCACACGTTACTGGACTCTGTAGCTCGTGTCCATCCCTTCATAATGTCAGTCCTACTAGAAGAGACTAGGAAACACGTGGATGAGGCTGGAGAGGTGAGATACGATATAGACCATTATATTTTGCGGGGATTCAATTTTGCGATTTTTTGTGTTTTGGAAAAATTTGTGAAATTAAAATCCGCAAAATAGCGTGCTGATTTTATAGTAGGTGTGGTAATTGCATTAAAAATTGCAAAAATTTTTATTTGTGAGTACAAAAATGTAGCTGAATTCCGAAATTTTATACCCGCAAAATATATAGAGCCTATACAGTACCAGTAGCACCAACACAACTATAGCAATGTATTATATTGCATCTTTGTTACTATAAAAGATACATGTAGATCGAAAGATTTGCAGTACTGTGAACCCATAAATCATTTAACAACTTTTATGTTTAACGCTTTTGGAATGGTGGGTATGTTAACTTCGATTAGTTTTAACAATTTTGCACATTGACAGTCATAGTTATGTCCATTAACTGTAACAAGATTAAGCTAATGGTTAAAACAGTTATATATACAGTGATTATTAATGGGTCTACAGCAATAGTTAATTTGTACATAACTTCGAGTTGAATTGATCATTATGTGAATAATTTTAGTGAATTAGAACGATTAATTGTTAATATGATGAATTAAGGCATCACAGAAACTCAATATTAATAATGTCATTTACTGGTAATTGGATTATTACTAAGAAAAAGCTGAAGCCAAGAGCCAATTCCATATTTGTATAATAATTATGCACATAAAGCAATGAAATGAGTATAGGATTTACATGTACATGTAATACAAATTAAAAATGAACTTCTTAGTATATAGTAATTTATTCCCCTTTCTCTTTCCACTTTGGCTCATACTCAAATTTTGATTACTGTTTATTTATTTATTTGTTTGTTTTTTATTATTTATTTATTTGAATCATGCAGGTAAAAATAACAAAAAATAAAGTACAGTATACATACATGTATTTGCTCGAATAAACTCCCTGCTTAAGGTTACGGGATACAGTTTATGAATAATTAATTAGCTGTAGTCAATTGTTTTTTCATTTGTTATTTTTTTAAAAATGACACTTCTTTCATTACTACTATCATTTTTAATGATTTATTTCTTATATAAGGTCATCTGTTCATCTTATACAGAATGACTGTACTTGATATAGGCTGGGTTAATTATAAACACTTATAAATCAAAAATCTCCAGTCCTGAACAACAAAAGTCTCTAAAACAAATGGTAGCTCTTCTTGAGGCAAAAATGAAGGTCGTCACGATGAGATTTTTTGCTTTCTTTCTTTTTAACCTCAGAAAATCAGTCAAGAATGCTGAAAAACGCACTAAAATGGCCGCCAAATAGATCTATGGTGTGACTATCTCCGTTTCTACTAAGTCCAGCCAAAAGAATGCCACGACACGACCTAGATATCAAACTTAGCAAAATATTTACTTGGAGAACCATGTGAAATATGGCCCAGTTGAGCTTATTTTTGATTTATAAAAGTCCATTCCTTTTAACGCAGGGCAGCGCATAGCCATAAATAGATAAGCCAATGATAACTCGTGAGTCCCACCCACTTTTTAAAATTACATTTTTAATTTTAAGGATCGAAAGATTTACGGTTAGAAAGGTATCCCGTAACCTTAAATAAACACTGATGACAAATATTTTCTAACTATAGATACGCATATTTTACCCAGTATATGTGCCTCAGGATTTAGATTGTGCCAGATAGCCTAACAGTTGTAATACAGTTTGGAATGCAAGAAGGTTGTGGGTTCCAATCCACTAGAGGCTTTTTTTGTTTTTTTTTTACCTGATTTTTTTCCTGTTAAGAAATAAACGCCCGGGCGTTTAATCGAGCAAATACGGTACATGTATTAGCGTAATAATTATTTATTTATTTATTTTGTTTGTTTGTTTATTGTATTTTTGTTTTATTTAGAATTGTATCTTATTATTCAAAGAGCTCCCCCTTCAGCTCTGGCTCCCTTCAGTACATGATATCACACTAGTGAGGGAGTGGCTAGTATCCAGTACACTCACCTCACCCCAACACCTCATCGCTAAGGTCATTATTAGTGGACTCAACTGGGGAGTCAAAGAAGAAGAGGTACAGTACTGTATAGCAGGAAATTTATGAGGGAATCAAATTTGGCAAATTTGGCATTTTTGATAGCCATTTGCCAAAATAGAAATCTGCCATTTTGAGCCATTATGTACATGCTCAATGGCACATGGCTACTAATTCGCCACATTAAGATTGGACAATCACCAAAATTTAGCAATTTGCCAAATTTAACTCTCAAAAAATTTCCTGCTATATGGTATGTCACAAAAATTTTTGTCCAACATGTAGCTCTATACTTAATTACTATCACTTGTATTACCGTATAGCGGGTTTATTTTGAGGATAATAATTTTTGCGAATGGCCTGTATCTGGAGGTTCACAAAATTAATTTTCGTGAATTGCCACTTTTCTGCCATCTTATGCCGTATAAATTGATTTTCAAGGAATATAATTTTGCAAATCTTCAAAAATCCGCAAAATTTGCGATATTTGTTGTCCTCGAAATAAACCCGCTATACAGTATTGCATGTAATTATTATTATTATTATTATTGATTTTTATTGATTTTTATTTTACAGCCAGCTGGCTCTACTTCCCTAGTCCTTCCCCCCAGTATTCATCGTGGTGTGGCTCTCTCTATCATTGATCTTTGGTACCATCAGTTCACTGATGACTCAACCAGTCCTGGAGCTAATGCTAATAAAACGTTATATTCTTCTACTATAAATAGAATTAGTAAAGTAAGCCAACTTCTTATTACATGTATGTGTCCTTGTGTTGTCTATCAATTAACTTCAAGCTTATTCAGATCCAGTTTGGATTTTTTGTGAATTTTTAAAGTGGCTTAAAATTACAAAGGCTATAGCCTCTGGCCAAAGGCCAAATTTAATCAAAAATGGCTATGAGAGATTTTCTACGTTTTTATAATTTTTTCTGATGCATAACATGTCCTTATGTTGTCTATCAACTTTGAGCTGATTCCGATCAAATTTGGATTTTTTATGAATTTTTAAAGTTGCTCCAAATGCCATGTACTGTATTGTAGTGCTTGTCAGCTCATGAAGCTCATGCTGTTTAGCTCACTTAGCATGCTTTGGGGGAAACCCTGCTTGTACTTTTAAAAAGACAGCACTTTGGCATTGTGGTTTGATGTAATCCGCCATTTTAATTTATAAAAACGTGATTAGCAAAAAATATATTAATAAAAAAGATTGAAATATAAAACCAGATGGGTAGGAGTAAAGAAACAATAGGGTATACTTGTAAACTAGCATCATGGTGCACATGTACATGCATGTAGCAAAAAGTTTAGCAACTAGCATAACTAGCAAAACACATTGAACTAATTAATAATATTTAGCGAAGTTTACAGCTAATCTAAAAAATCTAGCATGTCTAGAGCGTCATCCATAATGTCCATATCATCACTATAACTACAGTTCCATGAACATCTTTGAAAAATAAAATATAAAGGCGTTATATGCTGTAGTATGGACTCTTACCTGGAGCAAACAAAACGATTTGGATTGGTATCAATTGGAGCTCTTTTAATTTTTTTGCATTCAGTACAGACAACATCCTGTGAATGAAGGAGTTAGTATATCATATAGCCAGTAATATGGAGTATAGATAAGAAATAATTGTAATTTTGGAGGGGAGAAATTTTTTTGCAAATTAATGTGCATTTTTAATGGCACAGGGCCACAAATTAAAACCCTCCAATCACCAAAAATTTAGCAATTCTTCAAAATTTTACTCCTCCAAATCACCCAGCTATACAATATAAGTTGAGACAATTAAAGATAATATTAATAAGAGTAGGTATAGCTGACACTATAAATTATTCATGGTACCCTACCTTCTTTTCTTTAAAAATAGAGAAAAGCCCACCCATTGCTTTTGACTTGTCTTGTTTTTCTTCTTCTCCCTTCTTGCTCTATGTTCTATTGCTCAATGAGTCATTGTATAGTTTGTATGCTGCAGTTACTATTAATAGTGCTTGCCTCTGGATAATGAATTTATTAAGGATGATAGCACAATGACAGCTAGTATTTAATTAGTGCTATGAATATTTTTACTGTTAGTTCCTGGAAGCCTGTTCTTTAATAGTGTGATCGTGACTCGATATATCTATGACCTTAAATACTCACGATAACTGCTTGCTCCATCCTACTACTTTATGCATCAATACATGTATTTACATATATTTACATGTGCATGTGCATGTATATCTTCCTTCTAATCCTTCCTCATTTTCTTCTCCCTTTCTTTTGTCATTACTTCATAAAATCATGCCTTATGTATATGCGTATGCACGTTTAATGTAGCTTTCTCATAATCTCTTTCTCTCTCTCCCCCCTCTCTCTCCCTCTCTCTTTCTCTCCCTCTCTCTCTCTCTCTCTCCCCACCCTCTCTCTCTCCCCCCCTCTCTCTCTCCCTCTCTCTCTCTCTAGTCCATTCGTTCACTATTATCTAATAATCTCTCTGATCTATTATCTTGGATGTGGGACGTTACACTAATGCTCAAGCTCCACCCCTCACAAATCAATCAGTCATCGTCGGCCCCACCCACTGAAGGGGGAGGGGCTAAGAGTCCAGCTGTTTACAAGCAACCGGTCGGTGTGGCCAGTGAAGGTGGCTTACCCCCGGTTGATAATCCTGCCATTGACGGGTTTGATCTGTTAAGAGAGTGTTCGAGGCATGATGGACTCATTGCTTACTATGTTCGTATCAATATCAGCAGCATTGGAACTGAGTGAGGGCTTTATTAATACACTATATACCGGGTTATTTTTGTGGTAGAAAATCTTCACGAATTTTGCATTTCTAAAATTTTGCAGAATTAATTTTCTTGAATAGCTCACATGTACTTTATCTCTCCTCTCTGCGTACATGTATGTACATGTACATATACATACATGTAGCTTAACTCCACTATTAGTTGTGTATGCATTAAAATGAAGCACTGGGTCACTTAAAGGAATTCAAATTAGTAATATGTCATTAATTTTTAATAATAGTTAAAATTTAAAGTTAAAGAAAACATGTTAAAAGAAATAGTGCCAAAGTCCCTAATGCATCAAAAAAATTTAGAAGTACATTTAGTACACGCAATTAAAAGTGGACTTAAAATTTAATGCACATACATGTACATGTAACTCGATCTAAATGATGTGTACATGTATTTTCTTATGTTGTACTTATGCATGCAGTTCTCACCAGTTTTTAAAGGACGGGCTACCAATGTTAACAAAGATGGTAGAGCAAGGCTATTACCTGCCAGTGCTAAAGATATTGGGGCATGTCACAGGACTGATGTTTGAAAATAGGAAAATGTTTATAGATGAACAAGAGTGAGTTTTAGTGATATATACATGTACATGTACGTACAACTGTACATCTACAGTACATGTAAGTTGGGCCAAAAATGAAAAATGTGTTTTTCATTACAATACAATGTATCAGAAACTTTTTAAGAAGCAAAACAGGTTGGGAAATATTTAACAATTTTTATGAATTTTAATATACTGTATATTCAATAGATGTATGTTAATTTGCACGGAACCTACTTAAAGTGCAATGTACATGTATAGTCTATCCTTTTATTAAGTTTTATTAATCCTTTTATTAACATTTTAAATTGTTAATGTTAAGTTTTTTCGTGTATTGTAGTTTCTTTATATTGAAATGATTTTAAATAAATTCTTCTTCTCTCCCTCCCCCTCAGTTTCATATCCCTGGTACTCTCAGTGGTCAATGCTGATACTAATGATGTTTCAATGAAGGAGAAGCTAACATGGACCATACCTTCACCTCATATAGTCCGGCGATTCTCGGCCATGATAACAGTGAGTCCTGGAACTCTCTCTTTACTTTATTTCTCTGTCTCTCTCTCCCCCCTCTCTCTCCCCCTCTCTCTCTCTCCTCCTCCTCTTTCTCTACCCCCTGCTCTCCTCTCTCTCTCTCTTTCTCTGTCCCTCCCCCTCTACATTATAGAGTCAGGTTAATTGTATCAATACTTCACAGTCAGAATTAATATTCATATTTTGGCTAGATGTCCTCTTTACCATACCATCATGGCTTCGGTAATGAAGTTCTTGTATTTTATTATTGTCATTATTATTAGTATTATTATTATTTATATTTTATTTTTATTTTTCCAGGCAACCCAATGTGTTGTATGTTTTAAATAATTTGTGTATCGTTTCGACAGTTCGTGACAATTTAAAGAAAGATATTAATAGAAAAACTACTAGAACAATACAAGGTAAGTATGTACATGTACATGTAACTTACCTCTTACTCTTGGTACCTTAATTTGCAGTGTACACGTACATGTCATGTCATGTACCATGTACATGTACTGGGATATTTTTAAGTTGCTAAATTTTTTGCGAATCTTGTATTTTTAAGATTTCACTTAATAAAATTTCTGCAAATATCTTGTAAACTGCACCACGTGGCGTAAATTTTTTTAATTTTTGGGACGAAGCAAAAATGGAAATATGCTAAAATTTGGCTATCTCTCTCTCTCTCTCAGTTTCTTAAACCCTTCCAGCCCAACAAGAGGTTGTTATCATCAGTTACGTCATCAGTTTTATCAATGGTTGGACAGGAAGGAGGCCCACCATCTTTATTTAATACCATTGTGAGTTATAAAAACTAAATAATAGCATTTGTTATTATTAATATTAATATTATTATTATTTCTTTTTTGTTTGTTTGTTGTAATAAAATGGTCATGATTTTAAAAAAGAACAGCTATCATATAATATACAGGCTATAGCTACAGTACATTAATTTGCTGTATAATTAAACGATTAATTAAAAATTAAATTTAAATGCTACAATTAACCTTTTAAACATACAGCATTGTTATTACCATCAATATTATTATTATTATTATTATTATTGTTGTTGTTGTTGTTATTATTGTTGTTGTTGTTGTTGTTATTATTATTGTTGTTGTTCATATTATTTTGCTTATAGGATAGTTCAGAGTATCCTTGGTTGTCTTATTACTGTTTGTTAGCTGAGGAACAGTTTGAGGAGCAGGAAGGAGTCTGGATATCATTACTTAAACTACTAAAAAAAGATCAAAAAATATCAATTGATAACGCATTAAAAGTAAATTAAAAAATAATGATGATGATTGTACTAAGTACATGTACTAATTGACTATAGTATTCTAATCAGAGTCAGCTCAAACTTTTGACAAAGCATCTTGTACTACATGTTTGTACACATTTTCTGATACATATTGATGTCCTTATGCTATGTAGAAAGTTTGAGCTGATTCCGACTTCAATTTATCAAGTTACGGCCATTTTAAGAAAATGCCAAAATTCTGAAAATTACCCTGTACTATAGCCCATGGTTTTACTCAAAAAATGGCTCCGAAATCACCCCAAAATTTTATTACATTTTCTGATACATATTGATGTCCTTATGCTATGTAGAAAGTTTGAGCTGATTCCGACAAATATTTTTCCAGTTATAAGCATTTTAAGGAACAGGCCAATTTTTGAAAAAAGCAAATTTAGGCTATAGCCCATGGTTTTATCCAAAAAATGGCTCATGGTTTTATCCAAAAAATGGCTCCGAAATCATCCCAAATTTTTATTAGATTTTCTGATACATATTGATGTCCTTATGCTGTGTAGAAAGTTTGAGCTGATTCCAACTTCAATTTATCAAGTTACGGACATTTTAAGAAAACGCCAAATTCTGAAAAATACACTGTACTATAGCCCATGGTTTTATCCAAAAAATGGCTCCAAAATCATCCCAAATTTTTATTACATTTTCTGATACATATTGATGTCCTTATGCTGTGTAGAAAGTTTGAGCTGATTCCGACTTCAATTTATCAAGTTATGGCCATTTTAAGAAAACGCCAAAATTCTGAAAAATACACTGTACTATAGCCCATGGTTTTTTCTAAAAAATGGCTCCAAAATCACCCCAAAATTTTATTACATTTTTAGATACATATTGATGTCCTTATGCTATGTAGAAAGTTTGAGTTGATTCCGACTTAAAATTTTCAAGTTATGGCCGTTTTTAGAAAATGGCCAATTTTTGAAAAATACCCAAGGCTATAGCCCATGGTTTTTTCTAAAAAAATTCTCCGAAATCATCCCAAAATTTTATTACATTTTCTGATGCATATTGATGTCCTTATGCTGTGTAGAAAGTTTGAGCTGATTCTGACTTCAATTTATCAAGTTACGGCCATTTTAAGAAAACGCCAAAATTCTGAAAAATACCCTGTACTATAGCCCATGGTTTTATTGAAAAAATGGCTTCGAAATCATCCCAAAATTTTATACATTTTCTGATACATATTGATGTCCTTATGCTATGTACAAAGTTTGAGCTGATTCCATTATTATTTTTTTTTTTTCCTAGAAAGCACTCTCTGATCTTGGTCATACCGGTTCATCATTCAATGTCAATCATTTATGTATATACCGCTGGGCTGACCTCTGCAGCTCCATGGACACTTCATTCATACTCTACCCTCTAGTGTGGCAGAGATATTTCACACTCTATCTACAAAGACCAATCTTCACAGCAAGGTAACGGTAATAACAGCTATTGATAACAGCTACCTGGAATTTAATTTTTTTTGTTTGCTGTTTATCATAAACAGCATGCATACATGTACATTATATGCTTGTACAATGGACATTAATTTTGCTTTATTAGCACAAAATATAAGTCCCATAAACTTATCCAGCTATACTGTAATTGCTATTTTTCTCTTCTCTGCCTCTCCCTCTCTCCCCTCTCTCTCTCCCTCCCTCTCTCTCCCCCTCCCTCTCCCCCTCCCCCTCCCTCTCTCCCCCTCCCTCTCTCCCCCTCTCTCTCTCCCCCTCCCTCCCTCTCTCCCCTCCCTCTCTCCCCCTCCCTCTCCCCCTCCCTCTCCCCCTTCCTCTCCCCTAGCATGCCTGAGAGAGGTAGTTTAGGTTTAAGGTTCTTCTCTACTAATCGGACTCAAGGAATACGACGCAACATGAGAAAGGCTCTCACTAAATCCTTTCGCTCACTTCAAGAGGAACTGAAGTCAATTAAAAGAGACAACGAAGAAGAAAAAGGAAACATATTCCTATTAGAACTATTACCAAAATTAATATCGTGAGTATATGTACATGTACATGTACAGAATGTACATCTCATTTTAGAATAATACATTTCATATTGTATGGACTAGCTGTTTTTGTACAGTATATAATTACAAAATTATAAAATTACTAGTGTACATGTATAATATTCAAGTTTCTTCCTCTCCCTCTCTCTCTTTCCTCCAGTTATTATCAGATGCTCCAGATGTGGTTGGAAGAGCCGAGACTTCACGAGGAGACACTCTCACTGCCTTCACTACCAATCCAATATGAACCAGAGAGACTCTCTAAACTGTTCAAAACACAACAAGTTAGAGAGAGGGAGAGAGAGAGAGGGAGAGGGAGAGAGAAGAAAGAGTAGGACGAAACGTGAATATTACCAAGATATTACCTTAAAGTGATTTTTAATTGCGGGTACTAAATTTTTACGATTTTAGCACGTGGTAGACTGGTAGATTTTGTTGGTATTAAAATTTGCAATTGAGTAATTATTACTGATAGTTATATGTACATGTATATGGCATAATTAATAGTTGCATGTATTAATAATTGTGATTTTTAACCCAAAGGCAAAATTCACAATTAATAGTACCTGTATTTAAAGGTAACCTTAAGGCTTATATACATTTGCAATTTCTCATAGATGTACATGTACATGTACAGTGTACTTATTTGTGTTTTATTGTAGAGTGATTGGGTGGAGTTCTTAAGACTCTGGGAGATTGAGGATATCATTAAAGTGATGTTGGATGAATGGAAACAAGTCCAGCTCTACCAGAAAGCACTATCATGCCAAACCGAGTCACACGAGCAAAGCCCAGACACAGGTGAGCCAACAAGACAATATGTATACATGTACATGTAAATGTACAAATAGACGTACATGTACATTGTACGTGTACATGTACATGTATGTTAAATTACTATTGTACATTATGTGTGGGTAGATGAATTACATGTACATGTATTATCTATTGTGACTTACATGTAATGCATACATGTACATATATTATGGGATAGTAGCAAATTTACACAATGCTTATGTTATACAGAATTTTTAAGTTTGCTCAAAAATTCGACAAATGACTATGGCCTATGGTACTATGGCCTATAGTACTGAGAGATTTTTCTATTTATTACATTTTCTGATACCGTATAGCCAGAAATTTTGGAGGGAGTAAAATTTGGCGAATTGCTAAATTTTGGTTATTGGCGGATTTTAATTTGGCGAATTAGTGGCCACGTGCCATTGAGCATGAGTATAAAGGCTCAAAATGGCGGTTTTAATTTTGTGAATGAAACTCTATTCGCCAAATTCGCCAAATTTTTGTCCCTCCAAATTTTTGTGCTATACAGTACATGATACTACATTTTCTTGTTATTATTATTATTATTCATCAGCTGCTGCAAGGATAGAGAAGAGGTTACGTTACAGATCCACTCCTGCCCCTCCCCCTCCCTTCATATCCCCTCCTGCTCCGTTCTCTCTCGTACCCACAAGGATCCTCCTCTCCAAGCCTGACCTTCTCTCTGCTGTAGTAGCTGACATCAACTTCATAGCGCAGCAAGGAAGGTAGGACATACTAACGACATTATAACAAATTAAGAAATGTTTACACTTGTAATTTATGCTTAAAATTTAAATAAACTCATGTACATGTATGTACACAATTACACATTATTATACCTTATACCTGTATTGTTTATGTTGTTTTAATTTTTTCTGTTTTCTCTGTTTTCCCTCCCTTTCCTTTTATTATACTCTCTTGATTGCTACTTCCTGTCTCCTTTTTCTCTCTCTGTCTCTCTCTCTCTCTCTCTCTCCGTCCCTCGCACTCTCCCTCTCTCCCTCCCACCCTCCCTCTCTCCCTCCCTCCCACTCTCCCTCTCTCCCTCCTCCTCCCTCTCCTTTCCTTTTCTAAAGTTCATATTGTGAGAGATACAATTCAATGGTTGCTCTTGATTCTGAGTACATGAGTGGTATCCCTGACCTCTACAGTAACCAGCCCAGACAGTTTCATGTTAGTATTCCGTGTCATAAGAAAGCTGCATGTACTGGATCTGCTACCATCGTATTTAGAGTAAGTGCATGTACATGTGAAATACATCTATTATTGTACATGTATTATTGATGTGTATTATTGTGGATTGTTATTAATTATTACATGTACATGTACATAAATTATTATTGTATGAAAGATTTTTTAGGATTAAATGTTACGAATGAACTGCATAAATTTGCAAACAATTAATTTTGTGAATTTCATTATCCACAGATCTTATAAATCTTTCAAAATCTTAAGAAGTTTTAAAATTTAGCATTAAAACAATGCTATAATGTAAATCTACCATTATGTATGCTTTTATAATGGTAATACTATTGACATCAATCTTATGCATTCATACAAATAATGATATACTATTTATAACAGTATAGCTATGTATAATTTCTGTTTCTCTAGTTCAATGAGTTGACTCCCCACCCTCACTGGGAGCAGAGGGTACCCCAGAACAGGCAGGAACATAAGGAGCTACTCAGTGCCCTCTCCTGCCCAGTCTCATTTGATTTGTGTAAAGCAGTGGCAAGGACTGAGCATGTTGTTGGGTAGGTTAACCAGCACTGACTATAAACTTGTATTTATTTACAATTATTTTATGTGTACAAGTGTTACCAGGGTTTCCCACAGGATTTTGGCATAGTGGTTATCTGGCTTTGTCAAGTTGCTCAAAAATTGGGCCAAAGACCCTGTACTATAGCACAGGGTATTTTAATGAAAATCACAAGGCGATATTTCTCCATTTTTATAAATTTTTATACATATTTATGTTTTTATGTTGTGTATCAACTTTGAGCTGATCCCAATTTAGATTGTTAACCTGCTTAAAATGCCACGTGTTGTATTATAGTTCATGAAGCTCATGCTGTTTAGCTTACTCAGTATGCCTTGTTGGAAACCCTAGTTTTTACTCTATGGAGCAGAGGATTTAAATTTTCACTGTTTTTTAATTTGTAGAGAGCTATCAAAATTATCTGAAAGTAATGACAGTGAAGGTTAGCAGTTAGCACTCTCCCTCTTAGTCATGTTTTTAATTTTTATTTGTTACTTTCCTAGCTTTATCAAACGGCGTCTCTTTATTTTATGAAGTGTTAAAGTTTATAACATCAGAAACAAAACAGTATCCACCAACCTGCCAGTTCCTCTCATCATGCATACAAATACTGGGACAAGTAAATCATTTAATATTGTCACATGTACAATTTATGGTGAATATCCAACATTCAAACATTATTATCACTCAGGATGGTTGATCATTCAGTTCATGTACATAAATGCTTCATAACTGCTTGAGGGGGCAATATTGTATTTATATATACATGTAGCTTTGGTGTAGTAGAATAAGAGATTTTTTGAATTTTTACAGCCAAGGAACTATGCTATGTAGTCTTCTGTGATAAAAGTGTAATGATAATAATGATGTGTTGAAATGGTTTCAACTTTTGACATTTATCTCATATTCCTAGCATTTTGCAACAATGTGTATCTTCCTTTTCTCCTTCTCTATTTCTCTCTCCCCCCTCTCCCCTCCCTCTCTCCTCATTAGGAATTCATACACAGGGACCCCAGTCAGACAGCGACCATATTACAGTTATTGTTAGCCCAGAGGTCACTGGGTGACATCCTTGCTCCTCTCTTTGACCCCAATCTCTGTCCTCCTGACTTTATCTCAATGTATGTCAGTGTGAGGGAAGTAGCCATCAAAGAAGGCCCTACCATTGCTTTCTCTACACTCACCAAAGTGAGCAGTCATATTTACCATGAGACTGAGAGAGTTCAACTAGAGTTTTAACTTCCTTTATTCTGAGCTTGCATGTTCAATGGAACAGAACTTCTAAAAGGGATATGCTCAAATTTCTGTTATGCTGCATGTACATGTATGCATAGTACATGTACATGTACATACAACATCTGTTTAGTGTTTAAAATCTTTATTATAAGAAATGTATGTGGAGCTTATACATGTAGTATGAATAGAATTATTTGATTATATATACATGTACATGTAAATGCTTTAATCTGCAAAAAGATATTTTCATTTTATAGGAATGTTTAATTTTTAGAACAATGGATAATTTTCTTTCCCCCCCCCCTCTCTCCCCTCTCTCTAGTTCAATATTCCTAAGTGGTTGTCGGATTATTCTCCATCGTTACCAGACTCCTCTCAACTACTCAAGTACATCTTTCAAGGAATATCTTACTGTGGGCGGGAGCCTGACGATGATCTACTGATTTTATTGGAGGTATAACATTATACCTGTTTACATGTAGTACATTATAAAATACATGTCTATGTATGTACATGTACATGTACATGTACAGCCTGCGTATTTTTATACATGTACTACCTAAGGCCTGAGATAATTGTGTAAGCTCAGGTGTTACATTACTGATGACAAATTACTTGTACATTTTTGTCATACATACATGTACATGGATGTACGTATATGTACGTGTAATTATTGTGTATTTAATTCATAGAAGGGCAGCGGATTATTTTTACCATTTTTGAGATTCTTTCTCTTGCCCTACCTTATTACCTCTTTCCTACTTTAGGGATACTTGTCTCATTTTAGTAAATTGTTAGAGTATCAGTTTCCATTGTTATACAATGAAGCATTACACCTGGTTATTGATGGTAAGTGGGAGAGAGAGAGGGATGGAGAGAGAGAGGGATGGAGTGAGAGAGGGGGGAAGGAGCAGGGAGAGAGAGAAAGAGAGGGAGATAGAGAGAGAGGCAAGGCTACAATTAAGTTATCTGAACTATGATAGGGGCACTACTAACTTAATTTACCCCCCGATTAACAGCAATAAAATATTAAAATACATGTACATGCATGTATGATGTATAAGTACTACCCTTTGGGCTTTTTAGGGCTAATAGTACAGTATAGTTTACTGTTAACTTAAGGCTTGGGGCCACTTTGATGGGGGGGGCAGGACAAATTTCCCCACTTGCCCCCCTCCCATTGGCAAACCTGGAGGGAGGGAGAGAGTAAGAGAGGAGAGAGGAGGGAGGAGAGAGTAAGAGAGGGAGGGAGAAGGAGAGAGAGTCAATTTTTATCCAATGTTAGGGACTGATACTGGCGGTATTTCCCCTCGCTGCTGGGAGGAGCTATCAAAAGTGACCACGCCCTCTTTATCAACTGAGTATGATTCCTGTCGTCTGGGCCTACAGCTCCTTCAAGAGTCGTTGCAACATTTGTCTAACTTTTATACTCAAAAAAGATTTTACACCAAAGTATGTGAACACTCTTCATGCCTCCATTCACATTTAAGGACATGATAATGCTAAGTTATTATACACTGTGTACATTATATATATAGCCTCCTGCTCCTAATTTATTGTGCACAATGCCGTATAGCAGGTTTATTTTGAGGATAATAATTTTCGCAAATTGCCACTTTTCTGCCATCCTATACCGTATTAAATTGATTTTTAAGGAATTTAATTTCGTGGATCTTCAAAAATCTGCAAATTTGTTATCCTCGAATAAACCCACTATTAGTGATGGGCGATTTTGAGTCCGGAGTATTCGATCCTTCGATTCCGAATGGAATCGTACTCGTATCGAAAGAGAAGTAGGAATCGTTTGAAACGATTCCGAATCAAACCACACCCTTTAATATTAATAATAGTTAATTAATCAGTAGTTAATACCTCAATTATTATTCATCATTATTGCATTTTTATTGCTGTAATTGATACCACGTGGCTTTGCACATGCGCAGATGTAATACTCAGAATCGGTATTCGATTCCAGTCTCAAAAGTATTCAGAATCAGAATCGAATGCAAATTTCTGGAATCGCCCATCACTACCCACTATACAGTATTATCATTCATTAATAAACTAGCAGGGTTGTACTTGTGTCAACCCATTCAAAAATTGTTGGAAAACAATGTATTCTATACATGTATGTAAGATAGCTAGGTTCAAGCTTTATATGCAGTGTTATTTGTAAAAGCTATCGTGGGTTGCATGATTGTGGCTAACACTTTGTGTGCTTGTATAAACTGTATTGTGTAAATTTTTTAATACAATTTCATGTACTTCAATTTTATGTAATATACGTATAGACTATTTCTCAGTATTTTAGTAAGTCCAGCATTATGTTCTTGAAAAAAACAAGTCGCAAAAGCAGTCATTTAAGAGTTTTTAGTCTTGTGTTTTGTAATTGTGAACAGGATTAATACACGTTAATGTACATTACTTTCACCAGTGTGGAAAGCCCTTGAGTGCATGATAATGCTAAGTTATTATACATAGTGTACATTATATATAGCCTCCTAATTTATTATGCATAATATTATTATCATTTATATGAATTAACTGTAGCAGGGTTGTATCAACCCATTCAAAAATTTTTGTAGAAATGTACATCAAAAGGATATGCTTATGTAAAAGCTAGGCTGTAACTTTATGCAGTGTTTTTTGTAAAATCTATCGTGGGTTGCAAGATTGTGGTTACTGCTTTGGGTACTTGTATAAACTCTATTGCTATTATGATGATTTCATTTTGGCAGATGCTTATAATGAGTAAAGGGCTATGATACAAAGTTTCTACAGTACCTGTACTCAACTGAGTCAATATACAATGTAAATTCAAGGCATTCTTAATTACTTGTACTTCAATGAACATGTTGAATATTACTGTGCATAATATTATCATTCATAGAAATTATTTATAGGAGGGTTGTAGCAACCCATTTAGAAATTGTTCCAGTTGAATTATGTGATCCTTTTGTTGCTACATACAATAGCTAGGCATATTATATGCATATTATATTATATTATATGCTTTATATGCAGTTTTATTTGTAGAAGCTATCGTGGGTTGCATGATTGTGGCTAACATTTTGTGTACTTATATGAGCTGTATTGTGTGAATTAATCTATGCCTCCTATACATGTACATGTACAGAGTCAGTGTAAATTCATTAATGCAAGGCATTTTTTATTACATGTTTTTCAATGTTATGTAATGGAATATTTTTTGGTATTTTGGTAAGTCCAGCATTATGAACAATAGGAACAATGGGAAACAGTCGTTTTAGGGTTTAGGGTTTTAGTCTTGTATTTTTTAATTAAGAGAACTGTTCCCAAAGACTAGTTCTTGTGAGCTCACTCTTTTCTTTCTGCTGGAGAAGCCCTTGAAAGCTTTCCTGCTTTAGTTTGCTGCTAAAAATTACTCTATTACTCATTATGTACCATATAGTCCGGAATTTTAGAGGGAGTTAAATTTGACGAATTGCTAAATTTTGGTGATTGGCAAATTTTAATTTAGTGAATTTGTAGCTACTTACTGTATGTGCCATAGATAATGGCTCAAAACACTGAATTTTTATTTTGGCAAATGGCTATTAAAATGCCAAATTCACTAAATTTAACTCCCTCAAAAATTCCCCGCTATATATGGTATTGAATGATTGATGCTTAAGTACATGTACATGTAGGTGTGACATGATTACATGTACTGTACATGTAGTACGTTGTATATGTACATGTACATGTACATATACATGTATAAACAGACATGTTCAGTAAATTCTATGTGGGACTTGCTCAGACTGGCCCCCATTACATAATACATGTACATGTATAATTAGTTAATTAAATGTATTTGCACGTGTACATTTTAATGGAAATCTAATAGTTGAAGTATTTATCAACAAATTCTTTCCCATTACTCGATAATTCCATAAAGAGATACTGTCTAATTCCCTGTTACGTGAGACTAGGTGTGGGTTGATTAGTAATAATTACTCACATAGCAAACACGATGGAGTGTCATACTTGCGGTCGAGATTTTCACGTACATGTACATGTACGTGTGTTTTTTTAATTACACGTTGATATACATGTTTTTGTGTTACGTCAAAAGCTTGAGATGATTCCGATCAAAACAGGATTTTTATTGATTTAAAGTTGCTTGAAAATTTGAGAAAGCACTCTGTACTATATAGTATATAGGGTTAATGAATTTTATGAAAAATGGTTGGGAGAGAATTCTTTATTGTATTACATTTTCTGATGCATATGCATGTATACTGTACATGTTTTTGTGTTATATACATGTACTTATCTAAAAGTTTGAGCTGAATGTACCATTTATTGCAGCTATTTTTATTTATTTATTTATTTATTCTTTTTTAGGAGACAATATATGAGCTAGTTACATCAGACTATGTGTCTCATATATTGCAGTTCATTGTGATGCTTTGTACATCGTTAATCAATAAACTACTGACCAGTGTAGAACTAGAGAACAATACCATACAAGGAGGTACGTGTGTACATGTAAAAATACATGTAGAGTTGCTCAAAAATTGACAAAATTTTTCAAAAATTGCTTAAAAGTAGAATTTTTTATTTTTATAATTAATTTTATTGCATAGGCATCTTATTGTGCTATATGGAAATTTTTGCTAATTCTGATAAAAATTGGATTTATTATGTTACTCAAAAATTGAGCCTAACTCCATGCAGGGCTTTAGGCCAAATTTCACCAGAATTAACTAGGAGAGAATTCTCCAATTTTATAATTTTTTTCTGATGTATGTACATGTTTTTATGTTCTGTGGAAAGTTTAAACTGATTCCAATCATAATTGGATTTTTTACAAATATTTAAAGTTACTTCAAAAATCAGGCCAAAATCCCTGTACTTCCTGTATTTAACTCACTTAGAATGCTCTGTGGGAAGCCTTGTGTAAAAACACTAATGTAATGTTTGTGGTTTTAAGATCAAATTGAAGCGTGGGCTTTCTTTAATTTGTACACACCCAGGTTCCTATTTCAGGGTTTTTTTACTTGCATACTTTATATGCATATACATACAATGGATGTAGATCCAGGTCTTTTAATTAAGACAGGCTTTTATTCAAAGATACATGTATAATAATAGTACAATGTAATGTCTGAGATATCTGCTTTAACTGAGGGCAGATATCAAAAGGCTTGAGTATTACTGATAGTCAATGAGACACCACAAATTTTATATCTATATAGAGTGTATTATTATTTATTTATTTATTTATTAGCACTAACTGAGGCCTGGCGTAGTATAATAGATGCATTCAGGGCTTGGATACTACCTCTACTCAATGGAGAAAACAATGAAGTGTATGTCATTAACACACACACACAGTCACTCTTAATTGTTGAATGAGTGATGTTTTTATCGTTCTGTCTCTCTCTCTCTCTCTCTCTCTATCTGTAGTACATTTCCTTGTAAATTAGAAAGGATCATCACATTTGATGAGAGTTTTCGTCTCTTTGTTCAACTGGTCTCCTTGTTACAGAGCAAATTTGCTAGTAAGTGACATATTCTTGTATTCATGCATTCATGTACATTAATGTAATGATTTGTATTAGTATTATTTTGTGTCGTACTATTTTAAAAAGATACATGTACATGTACATTGTACGACGTAGCTAGTCCCTATAATACATACAGTAGAGTTAGAAAAATATGTAGGAACTATATTTATGATTTTGTACCAATATACATGTAGCAAATTTTAATGCATGTGGAATTTAATTTTGCTGGTGTAAGCGTGAACTGTTGAATCTCCCATCACTTATAATGCTTCGTGGAATTATATTGTGCATTTTTAAGATGAACAGCAAACAGCAAAATACAGTATATAGTTATAGCAAATTTAAAGCTAGTATTTGTAGCGCTGTTATACTGGCCAAATTATATTGCACATTTATTAATATGTAACACTACTTCTCTCTCTCTCTATACTTGTAGACAGTGAAAGTGGTAGTCCATTACACCTCTTGTGGTTCTTCTATTGTAACGAGTTGTCACTACCTGCCACTCCTTTACACATACTGGAGTGCTACCACACCCACCTGACATCTTTACCATGGGAACAATATGCACCTGACCTATCTGCAATGGACTTGATGATTAAGGTGAGAGAGAGAGGGGGGAGAGGGGGAAGGAGAAGAGAGAGAGAGGGAGGGAAGGAGGGAGGGAGGGAGGGAGGGAAGGAGGGAGGGAGGGAGGGAGGGAAGGAGGGAGGGAGGGAAGGAGGGAGGGAGAGAGAGAGAGAGAGAGAGACGGAGAGAGAGAGCGAAAGAGAGGTGGGGGTGAGAAAGGCGTCCTTGATTAAATGTCACCAAATAAGTTTGCTTTACATCGTAATTAATTATATTTCTTAACCTGATTATGAAATTATTTCATCCAGTTGAAAATTAACAAAGAAGTATCACAAATGTGTTTTGTGTTCCTGGGTGGAATATTTCCCTCGTTTAATTGGAAGGAAATAGCAAAGCAATACAGGTATGTACATATGTTGTTCAAGTTATACATGTAATGTATAAGTGATGATTTCTCGTGTTCATTATCCATACTGTATCCATTGTATGTACAGTGTGACCTCTATAATTAGGACACCTTTATATTGAGGACATTTAATAATGTCCTCGATTGTAAATGTACAAAGTTACCCACAGTACATGTTATACATGTACATCAAATAAGCCACAATTCACGAACAAGTATGGATAGTGTTTACCCATGTGTATATGATAAGCAACGCATACATAATTGAAGTACATGTATACATGTACATTTACATGTGCACTTCCCCTTTCATAGATCACAGTATTGATAAGGTTATTGTGTATGTAATGTAATGTGTGTGTCATTATTATTGTTTAATTATGAATAAAAAAGGCTGTTATCTCCAGTAACGAGAGGATGGCAGCCAAAAAAATGATGCAATAGATATACTGCTCTGCTACAAGGCCCAACCTGTGTACACACCCTATACCCAATATCCTTAATTTCCATACTTTTATAGAAATCTATGTACGTGTAGTTTTGATTTCGATAGTTTATAGAAATCTATGTATGCGTAGTTTTGATTTCCATACTTTATAAAAATCTATGTACGTGTAGTTTTGATTTTGATAGTTTATAGAAATCTATGTACGCGTAGTTTTGATTTCCATAGTTTATAGAAATCTATGTACGCGTAGTTTTGATTTCCATACTTTATAAAAATCTATGTACGCGTAGTTTTGATTTCCATAGTTTATAGAAATCTATGTACGCGTAGTTTTGATTTCCATACTTTATAAAAATCTATGTACGCGTAGTTTTGATTTCCATACTTTATAAAAATCTATGTACGCGTAGTTTTGATTTCCATAGTTTATAGAAATTTATGTACGCGTAGTTTTGATTTCCATACTTTATAGAAATCTATGTACGCGTAGTTTTGATTTCCATACTTTATAGAAATCTATGTACGTGTAGTTTTGATTTCCATACTTTATAGAAATCTATGTACGTGTAGTTTTGATTTCGATAGTTTATAGAAATCTATGTACGCGTAGTTTTGATTTCCATACTTTATAGAAATCTATGTACGTGTAGTTTTGATTTCGATAGTTTATAGAAATCTATGTACGTGTAGTTTTGATTTCCATACTTTATAGAAATCTATGTACGTGTAGTTTTGATTTCGATAGTTTATAGAAATCTATGTACGCGTAGTTTTGATTTCCATACTTTATAGAAATCTATGTACGTGTAGTTTTGATTTCGATAGTTTATAGAAATCTATGTACGTGTAGTTTTGATTTCCATACTTTATAGAAATCTATGTACGCGTAGTTTTGATTTCGATAGTTTATAGAAATCTATGTACATGTAGCTTTGATTTCCATACTTTATAGAAATCTATGTACGTGTAGTTTAAAATTTTAATTGTATTCGCTGGTATAGAGTGTGTACATCATCCATTGAAAAAGCAATGGGTATAAATGATCACTCAGTTTGATCAGAATGATGTCACTGAATACATAGGCACTTGGACTAGCATTTTTACTTGTACTAACCACTCTGCTTGTATTAGTCTCTATCACGAAACTGATAAGGACAATTGCAACAGCTATTTTTAGGTATGTATTGGTACTGATGTAGTCAAATTTCTTCAAAATGTGGGATATCATTTTAAAACCTAGCAGTATCCATATTGCAGTCATTGCACTCATATTTGTTTCAATTTCGTACTTTAAATACAGTGCATACATTATCCATTGTAAAGACAATGGTATTAAATTAATAATCAGTTGGATCAGAATGATCTCACTGAATGGATAGTCACGTGTTCTAGCATGTATGATGGAAGTGATAAGGTAAATTACAAAGGCTAATAATAGGTATGTTGGGATGCTGATACAGCCAAAATCCTTCAAAATGAACAATAGCATTTCTATACCTTCCAGTATATCTATTGCAATCATTTCCATTTGATATTGTAATGGAAGCCAGCTCCCTTTTAAGCTGTGATAACATGATAAGGCTATAGTGGGTCCAACTGGCTTGCCAAATAAATGATATTCATAACCTTGATGCGGTAGACCAAGGGATTATGAATATCATTTGAGGTGTATATCTAATGCAACACAAAGAAAGCCACAAATTGCTTGTAGCCTTGTTCCCATTGAAATTAATATTTAAGTTTATGTTATCAGTGAAGATTATGTTGTAGAACAACAAGGAATATCATAATGTCCTTACCTAAACTGGCAAACTAAACTCTCTTATTCAAAATGACTTTAACTATACAAAGTATGTCATACCTCTACTAAGGACAGGTAGTGTGGGCCCAATGGTGTCCTTAATAAAGAGGCTACACTGTACATGTATTAAGGGCAGGTAGTGTGGGCCCAATGGTGTCCTTAATAAAGAGGCTACACTGTACATGTATTAAGGACAGGTAGTGTGGGCCCAATGGTGTCCTTAATAAAGAGGCTACACTGTACATGTATTAAGGACAGGTAGTGTGGGCCCAATGGTGTCCTTAATAAAGAGGCTACACTGTACATGTATTAAGGACAGGTAGTGTGGGCCCAATGGTGTCCTTAATAAAGAGGCTACAATGTACACGGTCTTTTCATATATTTGCAATGTATTTTTTATTTATTTTTTGTTTTGTAGTTCTGATCTTTCTCTCTCCGTCCATTTCCATATCACTTTCTTGCAATTGCTAGTAATGTTAGCTGCTGAGCCTGAGATCATGAATAATAAAGTAATCAGAAAAAAATATTATTTATTTATTTAACTATAATTTATTTATTGTTAGGATTCTCATGTGCCTCAACTGATTTCTGATGCAAAATCATTTGATTTTCATTACATTGATTTAAAGTTAGCCTTTCTACTAACTTTCAGTCATATTCTCTCTCTCTCCCTCTCTCTTTCTCCCTCTTTCTCTCTCCCTCTCTCTCTCTCTCCCCTTTATCTCTCTCCCTGTCCCCTCCCCCCTCTCTCTCCTTCTTTTTCTAGAACATATCAGGATATATTAGAATGGCAGAAGAACAACTGTACTCCTTCATCAATACTACAAGCTGGGTCTTCTTTATCATTAGCATTAAGGTAGTACATTTAAGTACATGCACCTTTATTTATTGTTTATTTATTGTTTATTTATTGTTTATTTTGTTTGTTTATTATTAGGTTATTAAAGGCAGCTGGTAGTTTCCCTCTCAACAGTACCTCTAAACCATTGACACTTCATAAAGTATGTCACAGGATTTATTATTTAACTCTTTCCTCCATCTTTCCGTCTCTTTTTCATTCCTTTCCGTCTCTTTTTCATTCCTTTCCGTCTCTTTTTCTTTCCCTCCCTCCTCTCTCTCCCCCTCCCTCCCTTCCTCCCTCCCTCTCTCTCTCTCTCTTTCCCTCCCTTTCTCCCCTAGGATGGTTGGGATAAGCGTTATTCTTACATGCGTATGTTAGTTGAAATCATTTCAACCTCGAGCCAGCACAAGGAGACCCACACCTCATCATATTCTGATATTGTCTCATTCATGATGCACACACTCATTGATACTGTTGTATTTGGTAAGAATGTGGGGGGCCCTCCGGGGTTGAAATTACCTCAAAATCTTTGCAATACTTATATCCATTTTTAAAATTATTTTTTAATGTTAATTTGCTATACCTTAAAGCCACTTTTGAAATGTACAAATATTTTAGCTTTTTGGTGCTTTTGAAGTTTGCTTCTACTAATTTTCAATGTTTTTCTTTAATTTTAGTTGATATTTATTAGTTACATTAACGTGTACATGTATATGTAGGGTTTCCCACAAAGCATGCTAAGTGAGCTAAACAGCATGAGCTTCATGAGCTGACAAGCACTACAATACAGTACATGGCATTTAGAGCAATTTTTTAATTCATGAAAAACCCAATTTTCCTTGGAATCGGCTCAAACTTGATACACAACATAAGTACATGTATATGTATCTGAAAAAAATATTAAAATAGAGAATTCTCTTCAAGCCATTTTTGACGAAATTTGGCCAAGTACCAAAGGCTATAGCCTTTGGTCATTCGCCCAATTTTTAGCAACCCTAAAAATTTAGAGAAAATCCAAATTGAACCGGATACAGCGCAAAGTTAAAATACAACATAAGGACATGTATATATATCAGAAAAAATTATTAAAATGAAGAATTGTTTCCTAATGATTTTTGTCAATATGTAGTACAGGTCTTTGAGCAACTTAACTATCAACTGACGAGAAGCTAACATGAGCACTGTGTCAAAATCCCGTGGGAAACCCTTTGTGTTTAATGTTGCATTAATTTAGACTTTATTTATATTATATTTTCTATTTTTATTTACAGAACCGGAGTCCCTGAGTACCATGAATCCAGTGATCTTATTACAAGAGATGATCAATATGTTTAACACGTGTCATCCGTCTGATCAGTTCATATCAAATCTGATATCTCATGTCACTGATTGTCTTGATCAACTGCCTAACGCCTCACGCCTTCACTTACCCACCATAACAGCTGGTAATCACCATTATTTAATTATCAATTCATTTAATTTGTGGCTAGTGCACTTGTACATGCATGTACATGTACATTACCCTATTGTGTTCTGTAATACTTCTTCTCACTTCTTCTCCCCCCCTCTCCCCTTTCTTTCTCTCTTTCCCCCTTTGTATTCTCTCTCCTGCTCCTTTCTCCTTCCACCATTTTCTTCTTTTTTTCTCCTTCCTCTTTCTCTTTACCCCCCCCCCTCTCTCTCCCACTCTATATTCTCTCTCTCCTTTACCTTCTCCCCCTCTCTTTCTCCCCTACTCTCCCTTTCCCCCTCTTTCTCTTTCTTTCCCTCTTTCTTACTCTCCCCCACAGCCAGTCGTACAATAGTCTCAATACCCCTAATGGTGAAACTAGTTGAGATTGTCATTACAGTTTATTTCAAGCACTATCCCCCAGTCAAAGAGACTACGCTTCAGCTACCAGCCAAAATGGACGGTTATGGCTGGACTCACCTCTCCTCCTCTCTCTCTATTCCTGATACTGCAGCTCACGAGTTCTACACTGTCTGCGTCCAGCAGTTTGCTTGTTATTGTCTTAATACAAGGCTCTTGAATCAGTTACAGAGATGCAGTAGCTTGGAAGAGGAGTTAGAAATTTTAACTAAAATGGTCCAATCTTGCTCTTCACTCAAACCAAAGTAAGTCAAGATCATCATTACTTTACTGTTTCGATTGAGTCTGATTTTAAATTGTGATTGATTATAGTGAAATTAGTGAGGGATCTTTAATACAAATGGTTCAACTTGATGAAAGAAAAAAGTATTAAGTGCTAGATGTACATACGTACATGTAGAGGAGCCCACCTATGCATCAAAAATATAGAATATTAGCATACGCATGCAATTAAAAGTGAACTGTAGGTATTGTAATTGAACGAAATGAATTTGCAATGTCACACTCTTAGCTAGTTTGTGTGGCTTTGGGCACTAATTTTGTTTGTGTCTAGAGTCTAAGGGAATGATTACCAGTCGGGAGTGCAATTGAGTGCAGCATCCATGCAATCCTAATTATGTATATTCACAAGTTGCCTTGTTGTATAATGTTTGTTTGGATTCGTAATTTTATCCCTTCCTTTTTCTCTCCCTCTCTCTTACTCCCCCTCTCTCTCTCTTACCCCCTTTCTTTGTCTTATTTTCCCACTCTTCTCCCCCTCCCCCCTCCTTGCTCTTTTTTTCCCTTCTATTCTCTCTCTCCCTATCTCTCTCTCTCTCTCTCTCCCAAGGCCTAATGAAGAACACAAGATGTTTGTTATTTGGGATAAGATATTAAACCTTTCCCTACGTCAGATCTCATTTGGTAACATTAACCCAGCTATAAATCAATTTACAAGTCTAGCTAACACGTTACAGCGTTTTGGTGAAGATAAGGCAACTGAAGGACTTCTGGGAGCAATTGGACTAGGAAAAAAATCAATTTATAGTCTTGAGTAAGTGTATACATGCAGTACATGTACATGTACATATACATGTCACAGTTCTTCAACAGAAAGTATTTTGAAGTGTTCATTTTTAATGCCAAGCCATAATTACATGCTTTTTACAATTATTTGCTGTAAGAGAATTCTGTTATAAAATTGGGTTTAAAGATTTGGTTAAAAACTATAAGATATTTTGACAAAAATGGCTAGAAAAGAATTTTTTATTTTTATTCCAATTTTTTGATGCATATACATGTATTTATGTTGCGTAGAAATTTTGAGCTGATTTTAATCAAACTTGGGATTTTTATGAATTTTAAAGTTTGTCAAAAATCTGGCCAAAGTCCCTGTACTATAGTACAGGGTCTTGGGCCAAATTTCATCAAAATTGACAAGGAGAGAATTCTCCATTTTTGTATTTTTTCTGATGCATATACATGTACATATGTTATGTAGAAAGTTTAAACTGATTCTGATCAAAATTGGATTTTTTACGAATTTTTTAAGTTGCTCAAAAATTGAGCCAAAGCACCTGTACTATAGTACAGTGTCTCTGGCCGAATTTCATCAAAATTGACAAGGAGAGAATTCTCCATTTTTATAATTTATTCTGATGCATATACATGTACATATGTTATGTAGAAAGTTTGAGTTGATTCCGATCAAAATTGGATTTTTTATGAATTTTTAAGTTCCTCAAAAATCAAACTAAAAATCTTGAAGAGGGTGTTTGGCCAAATTTTGCCAAAATTGACCATGGAGAGAATCCTCCATTTTTATTTGAGCTTGAGCTGATTCAAATCAAATTTGGCATTACACTTTGTGTGTTATCTTAATTGATAAATTAATTTGAAGTAGGAAATTTGAATGGACTATAATATTAAGGTCATTTTTTCTCATTACAGGTTCAGATTAATATCACGGGTACTTGCCACATTCATCCACACACAGCTACCTCTGGACACCTCTCAATCTGTCCACCCTCGTCTCTCCCCTGGAGCTCCGGGCCACATCAAAGACCCAATGCGTTACGTTACTGGCTTTGCTTCTGTTGCAATGGCCACCAAACAAGCAGATCAAGCATCTGCAAGTTTAGAATCGCTCCTTAGCAATAAGTCATATCTTCACTTGAGAGACTACATCAGCTACTCGCTGGATATGATTAATGACTTGCAGTGCAATTTAATGAACATTCAACAGTTGTTTGTATATCTTGTTATTAATTTATATTCTTCTGAGAGATCACTGGACTCGCTCAGAGTGGCTCAGACATAGTGTGAGATTGTGCGTGTCTGAGAGAAATTTATTATTATTATTATAATAGTATAATGTGCTTTCATTTTTTATAATAATTATTATAATTTGTAATTTTTGCTGTGCAATTGAATTATTATTATACTAATTTGAACTGCATTCTACACATTGTCTCTCCTCTGAATACTATTATCACAACATTGGATGATGACAGCTTTGCAAAGGTCAAACAGATCAGCTAATAATGGCCTCTCTTGCTATGCTCTTTCTTTTCTCTCTCTACAGCATCTCTACTTGTACTGCCACTGATAGCTGTCAAGAAATGGCTGCCTCAGGGAATTGTGCCTTTTATTCTGAGTGTGTTGAGAAACGTGTGCCCTGTGGCCCCAATGGTTATGCATTAGGATATGGAGGAAAATATTGCATTAAATTTGGTGAAAATATTGACTGCTTTCCTGCTAATGTAAGATATGCTACCATTTTTATTATTCCTGTATTGCTATTATGTAACTTACTATTTTCTTCTTTTTTAGGGGCAGCAGTGGATAAATAAAGTTCGTATATGTCTCGAGACAGCTCTAGTAAACAGTACTGTCTATCGTAATAATGCTACCTGTGAAGATATTAAAGATTATGCTTTTAAGACACATCCTCAGTGTTATTTAGATGCAGGCTTCTGCTCTGTAATACTCGATAGTCCAACAAATTTGTATTGCCTGTACAAAGTTTTTGATGTGAAAGACTTCTTTTCAAAGCTAGCAATTAATCAGGTAAGAAGATTCTATCATTATTATTATTATTATTATTATTATTATTATTACTACTACTATTATCTACTCTTGTTATTATTATTACAATTAATAGGTCTATCAAACCTTAAAGAGCTGTGCAAGTGGATGAACAAAATACAATTAATGAATATTGTTTTAAATTAGGTGTAATAATCATTATTCATGATTTGTTTGCAAGTTTGTGTACTGTATTGATTTCAAATGAGAGGGTGGGGCTGGATGCTGCAGCACAGCAAGCACTTGCTATAGAAATGAGATCTATACTTTTGCTTGCAGCAAGTTTGACTCTTTGGAAAACTGCCTATGGACAACTAAGTTTGTAGACCAATAAGTATTTTAATTCTATTGTTGCATGTGTGCATATCTATAGGCATTGATGATGAATTTATGAGCTCACCTACTGTCTCTCCAACTCAAAATGAGACTGACTTATTTAGAATAAATGGAGTAATTATATTACTGACAGTTGGTAGCTGCACTTTTGCATTATTATGGCTTATACTGTTCATGTATTTTGCTTTACTGTGGTAAGTGGCTAGAGGCACATGCATCCTGACAGTTTTATATACTGTGAGTAGTTATGGCTATCGTAAGAAGAAGAAGCTAGAAGAAAAGAGAGAGGGCTACTATAGGCAAGCAGCAGCAAACCCAGTCAGGGATAGTGAAATGGAATTTCAATTTCAGCAAGCACTGCAGACTGAGAATGAGGATGAGTTTAGTTTACCAGAGGAGAATCAAGGTCAGCAAGCAACTACTAGCTGAGCTACCTAAAATGTATTTTGTATAATTTTATCACAGCATTTTCAAGAACGTTTAGTCAAGAGTCTGAGCATGTTTCAACGTTTCAAAGGTCATCATCGAAATCACGACTGATGGAGAGCACAGATGGTGCAGGGGGTCGTGCAACTAAGAAGAATAAAAGAAAAGAAGAGGAGGAAGATGAAAGTGATAGCGAAGAGAACAGTGAAGAGGGTTCTGAAGATGAATCTGAAGAAGATTCAGAAGAATCGGGATCAGAAGAAGAAGAAGAAGATAATGATGAAGAAGAAGATAATGATGAAGAAGAAGATAATGATGAAGAAGAAGATAATGATGAAGAAGAAGATAATGATGAAGAAGAAGATAATGATGAAGAAGAAGGATCAGAAGATTCTAGTGATGATTCTGATGAAAATTAATATTCTGAAAATTAATACTGAATACATACATACGAACTAGCACTGAATACATACAACCTCCCATAGAGCCAGGCTTATTTTATTTTTGTATGACAGTCTAGTTTTTATTGGCTTCGTTTCCCTAGATTACGGCATGCTTACTCAGTATAGTCTCCGTATACTTTCAAAATTCTTATTTATACTGAGGAGTCCGGCCCGTAAAATCTAAACACCTCTTCTCGACGGCTCAGATCTTAATAGAACTTCAGCAGAATCCAAGGATGGTGAGCTGTTCCTTCTTGTTCCTATTGCTGACCGTCTTTACTAATGTCTGGCAATTAAACGGTGAGTTCAAATAAAAAAATTACAGGCTATTTACTAATTGTTACTGACTTATTTGACTATATAGCCTTCAAATTACTACTGCGCTTTTCACGCCATTTGGATCATTCCATGTTCCGTAAATCCCTCCCCTCCATTATTACGTGCATCAGGGTATTATGCAGTTTACGGAGCATGCAAATGTGATCCAAGTGGAGTGAAAAGTGCAATAGTGAAAATTTGCTGTAATCACGGCGGTATTGCCCAAAAATTCAAGGCATGCCCTTGAATTTTCTGCTGGTTTGGCACAGAACAAACATGAGTTGCTGCAACACTGCGCATGACTGAACTCAGTGCAGCCCGTTGACCGGTGCAAGAATTTGTGGTCATATATAATTGTTGAACACATTCACACGGTTACAATGTGTTTTACCAACTGATAGAAAATACAAAAGACTCTTCCGTTCCCCCATATTGCATGCATTTTTCTATGCACCATCAAGTGGCCCACCCATATAGCTGGTTGAATGAAATTTTTGCTTCATAACATTTTGATTATCACTAAATGAGTTTTAATTAGGCAATTTTCTCACAGGCCATGCATAATGGTTATGATATTTTGGCATTATGGCTTTTAAAACTCACCCTCCAAGAATTAATTATTACCATATAGAGCTAATGCATGCAGTATGGTTGCTCTGCATCTGCCATTAAGGAGGGTTGTGTACAGTAACATCTATGGCAGGAATCACATTAATAAACTGCCCTGTTGCTAATGAGCCATAACTTAGTAACAAATAACATTTGGAATGTGGCTAACATGCTTGCACTCTAATCATAAATCACACATATACACATGCAGGTCAAGGCAATGGAGCAGTTGAACTCTTTCGTGATGGAGGCACTTCTCACAAGTTCTCTTCTGGAGTTGTGAGAGTGTTCTATAATAATGAATGGGGTAATATATGCTATGGGCCTACTAGTTGGACCCAGTCTGAATCTGATGTCCTCTGTCACCAGTTAGGATGGTCTGGAGGTAGTGCTCACAACTCTTCCGGCTCATTTAAGTATGCAATAACAAAATAATTTCTAAAGCATTTTAATTGAATATTTACATTGAAATTAATTATGTACGCAAAGTAATGAGGTATTCAATTTTGTTGTTGTTGTTGTTGTTATTGTAGTTATGGACTTGATACAGCACAAGGTGTCATTGAGACTGTCAATTGTTCCAGTTCATCCTATCTTGTACTCCTACAATGCACCATTAACCCGATCAGACAGCAATGGGACGACAGTCGTGATGTTGCAGTCTCTTGCTGTAAGTATATATACCATATATATTTTTACTGCACTAAAATTAATTTTCTCAACTTTGCTAAATTAATTTGTGCAAAATTCTATCCACAGTAAGAGGCCACATGAGTTTTATTGTCCATTTGCAAAAATTTATTCTGTAAAAGAAAATTTTCTTAAAATTTAGTAATGGTCATGCTACAGAGGGCGGTTATTTCTATGCAACGATGCAAAAATGTTGCAATTTAATCTAACTGTTGTTTGCTACACACCAATTACATATGATTATAAAGTGCCTTTGATAAAAGTGAAACTCCCTCTCTCCTACACAAACACTCTAATTTATCCCTTCCTCTCTCTCTCAGATGCTACTAGAATATGGGAGAGCCTTTCTTACGACGGCCACTTGAGACTGATTGATGGTGATCACATTACAGAAGGACGTGTTGAAATACTCTGCAATGGCCAATGGGGAACTGTGTGTGATGATGCTCTGGGAAGGGAGGAAGCAAGGACAATGTGTCGCCAGCTAGGATATAGTGATTATGTGAAATATGATCATTTAATACTGTGAGTAAATGCTAAAAATACTTAATCATAATAGTATAATACAAGTAATGTAATACCTGAGGACTGAGATATCTGCTTGAGATAAAGCCAATGGCAGATATCAAGGGACTCAGGTATCACTGATACTCACCTCCAGACACTTTGTATGTGATACACCAATTTTGAATAAGGTTTATATGGTAGTAATAGTGTTTAATTGTCTCAGTACATGGATTATGTAATTGCTAATTTCTCTTTTTTCACCCTCTCTACTCTCTCTCCCTCTTGCTCTTTTCTGATTGCCATTTGAAATAATCGTACCTGACAGCAAATTAATCAATAATAAGTGTGAATTTCCTCACCTTCTATTGTCCATTGTTTACTGTAAAGATGATAACAATTTCAATTTATTTCCAATTGAGTAAACCATGTTTGTGACATAAAGATTGTTCCAATTATTAATTACCTGCTCTTCTTTTCTACTCCTGTTAGTCCTGGTAACAGTACTCAGCCAATATGGTTGGATGATGTTATATGTCAAGGCACAGAATCTTGCCTAGCTACATGCCAAGTCTGTCCTGCAGCACAGCACCATAACTGCCGCCATGGAGAAGATTTTACAGTATCTTGCAGTAAGATGCCTCCCTCTCTTTTTCTCTCTTCCACTCTCTTTGTTCTATTGATACTAATTTTTTACAGCTTTGATGTGCTGGTGTTATGATTTTTCCATTTTTATTGTATAGCATACAACACTAATGATGAGAGGCTTGATCAAACAAACAATACTTGTGTCAACGCATCAACTACAGCAGGTATACAGTATAGGTTTACATAAATTAATGCTTCAATTTATTGTAGCTATATTTTTAATGCCCTTATAATATATTTTAAAAGTTGTAATCATTTTTATCAATTATTGCTGCTTGAGCTAAAAATTTTACTATTGCATTCTCTGATACATATACATGTTTTTGTGTTGCATAAATTTTTTTGAGCTAGTTCTGATCAAAATTGAATTTTTTATGATTTTTAAAAGTTGCCTGTATGGTCTCAGGCCAAATTTCATCAAAAAATTGAAAAGGAGTAAATTTTTCATTTTTATAATTTTTTTTCTGATACATATTATACATGTACTTATGTTGTGTAGAAGTTTTAACTGATTCCGATCAAAATTGAATTTAAAAAATTTTTAAGTTGCTCAAATATTTTACATCTTCATTTACACTATATCACTTTATACTTTTTAGTTCCTCCAAAGAAAGACATGCTGATGATACTAGGCATAGCACTGGGTGGTGGTGTTGCCCTGTTGCTCTGTGCACTAATCTCTGCAATAACCTGCTGCTGTGCCTGTCATTACTATAACAGAAGCAAAGGAAGCAAGTATGCCGATGAATTAAAAAGCAATGGTACAAAACAGCCAGCACACATCAGTGCCACATCGCCAGAAGTAATAATGATAATGGATGGATCACCTCAAGCAATCCGCAAGAGCAAAGATATGAAACATTCTCCTCCTATTAATTTTGATTATGAAAATGTTTCTGGGCCCACTGTTCTTTATTCTCCTGCTTCTTCAAGTGGCAATCATCGTGCTCCAAAAGAGCCACTCACCCCTCCTGTCTTTCAGGGGAAACCGACTTTCTAAAAGAATTTTTGCCAAAAATATAAACACCAATTATATTTTGTTTTCCTGCAATAATTGAATATTATTACTATTATTATTATTAGCATATAGTGCATGAGTATTGATTATATATTTGTTTTTGTTTATTAAAGTGTTGTTTCCCTTTTTTCTTTAAAATAATATTAAAGTTAATTATTTTGGTAAATAGACTAATCATGTGACTACCAGTAAATCTTTGCAGTCTATAAATTTAGCTTCTGCAGTCAGTTTTTTACTCTATGTTTTGTTCAGTTCATCATGGAATTGTTTGATCATCCAGATGCTCTGGTGCTCCTGTTGGTATTGCTAAATCATGCTAATGCTCAAGGTGAGATTGTACCAAACCAGTAAAACTTCACTGATACTGTGTTAGATTCTTAATTGAAATACAACTCTACATAATTATTATTATTGTTTGTTTTTAGGTGACGGTCCTAGTCTTGGACGAGGTCTTGGATCAATTCGATTATTTGACAATCGCACAGATTTACTGCATCCATCAGCTGGGATTGTTCAGATCTATTACTACAGGGCTAATACCAGTGACATGGGTTGGGGTAATATTTGTGATAATATAAAAGACTCTAATGATGATCTGTCATTCAATATAAATGATGCTAGCGTCATTTGTAATCAATTGGGATATAGTGGAGCATTAAAATTTGATACCACTACAAGGTATTGCATATAATTATTTATTGTTTTTGTTGTTAGAAATTCTACTGTCAGTTACTGCAAGGCAGTGACACAATCACTGGCTGATTGGATCCTGACATTCAATTAATATTTGTTTTTATAGTTTTGGAACCGATTCCCTTCCTGCTGTTATTTATGATGTTAATTGTACCACCAATAAATACCTGACACTTAGGCAGTGTGCCTTTAAAACCAGTAATGCCTCATTTGTCTGTGAAGATTCTGATGATGTGTATGTTGAATGCAGTAAGTTGAAGATTATAATTTTTACTTAATCATAATTATAATTATTTCAATAACTCAGAACAGTCATTGTGGTTATCTATCAAATATTTATAAATTACAATATTTCCCAGATACGACTAGAATTTGGAGTCGTCCTTATGCTGGACAGATTCGTGTACAGGGAAGTGATTACTCAAATTTTGGCCGACTGGAAGTATATTGTAATGGACAGTGGGGTACAGTATGTGAAGATACTTTTACTGAAATTGATGCTAGAGTTGCCTGCCGTCAATTGGGATACAGTACAGTTCAATCATTTGAGGGATCTGGGAACCACCTGTTAGTTACTAAAAACATCATGTACATTTTTCAAACTTACAATAATCTTGATGCATTTTGTCTTTTAGTTATGGACCAAGCTCTCAGCCGGTCTGGTTGAATGATGTTCGATGCCACAGTTCTCACAAATGTATTTCATATTGTCAAATATGCCCAAGGTCATCAAGGAACCATTACTGCAATTATAATGAAGTTGTCATATTAGGATGTGGTAAGCTCATGATATCACATTAAATCTTGACTTGTTTTTATTCTGCATAGAATTTAATCGAAACGCCATTCAATCAAGCAACACACTTAGCACCTGTCAGAATGCTAACAGCGCAGCAGCTAGTAAGAATACCACTGAATATCCAGATTATACATTATTTTCTAAATTATAGTTCTTGTTATTATCATCATTGTTGTGAGTATTATAAGTTGTCTCGTATCCACTGCTTGTGTGATTGGCTTGCCAATGTGCATATGCTTCTGTTTGGGTGTTGGAATCGGTAGTAGTAGGAGCAAGAAAAAGGGATATAATGTTTCTAAAGCAACTGACCCTAATGCTGGTGGTCCTAGTGCTGGAGGTGATGCTGAAGGTGGTAGTCAGCCACCACCTCAAGAACAGGAAAAGCCTCCCCAGGAAGAGGAGAAGTTTCCAGAAGGGAAAACTCCAGAGCATGAAGATAATGAGTTTGAAATGAAGTCAAAAAATAAAGATGAACAACCAGAACAGTGATTAATGCTTTTAATTGTAATATAATTATATCCTACTTATAAATTAAATAGATACATGTGCTGTATGATAATAATAATAATAACAATAGCAACAACTGTTTGCTATGTTAATTTTGTATTTTTTACAGTTAAATATTCAATTATTCACAGAAACAAGATTTTATATGAATCTTTTTAAAGCTCCTATACTCATTACAACAGAGTTTATTTGCTCCCTAACGATTCTAGTTTTTATTAATCCTTCTCCAATATTACACAATATCAATTAATATTTTTAATAACATATATATATACATGTAATATCATCATCAGTATGCTGTTAGTGAAAATAAATATAAAGCTGAAATAAATTAACATAAACAACAACAATGAATATGAAGATGATCTTAGTACATTAATATTGCATAATCTTCATGCTAATGAATGAAATCCTTTAATACATTGAATAGTTCATAAGGTCTGTCAGCATGTACCCAATGGCCAGCTCCATTAATGTGCTTTATAATAGCATTTGGAAATAGAGACTTGATATCATCATAAACCAATGGACTATTAATAGAAATACACACACACACATATATACCAATACTATTTCTATAAGCTTCAACACTAACTTTATGTATGAAGAATTACTGCCACCAATAAATAGTGTAGGGCCATTGTATGTCTTATATTGCAAATCACTAGGAAACTGATTAATGTGCTTCTCCATTGAGTCCTTTATTACGCTTAGATTGAATGTCCAGTGAAATTGTGATGTACTGTCCTTGCCTTCTTTTCGTAGATTAGTAAGTAAGAAATTCCTGACTGTAGTATCCTGTGAATTATGTTTAAATTTTTAAAATGATATTCTGTAATCACAAAAATAATTATTACAAATTTATTAGCAGCTAAAATAAGTGTATAGTGCATCAGAAAAAGTATAAAAATGAAACATTCTCTCCTTTTCATTTTTGACAAAATTTGGCCATAGACAATGTAAGGGACTTTGGCCCAATTTTGGAGCAACTTTAAAAATTCATAAAAAATTCAAATTTGATCGGAATCAGTTCAAACTTTCTACACAACATAAGAACATGTATATGCATCAAAAAATAAAATAAAAATTAAGAATTCTCTCCTTGTCAATTTTGGTGATTTTTGGCCGATGACCCTGTACTATAGTACAGGGTCTTTGGCCTGATTTTGGAGCAACTTTAAGAATTTATAAAAAATCTATGCAACACAAAAAATGTATAAAAATATTGGAAATTCTCTGTACTCTTTACCTCTTCTTATCCTCATACTGTGATAACTGTCTCTCTCTCTCTCTCTTTCTTTTTTAGTTGAAAGGTTTAAATGATGATGAATTAGAGGAACACATGACTCTACTTGATAAGAGAATGGACGAAGAGTTGGAAGCTCTCAGAAAAAGATACCACCAGAAACGCCAGCCTATACTTCAAGCCATTGATGCCAAGAAAAAGCAGCAATTTCGTTAGAATTATCATTATTATTATTATTATTATTATTATTATTATTACTATTATTTAAGTTCCATTTTCATATCACCTTAATTTTCATTATTATAATAACTCTCTTACCTAATCAGTATGCACCATTTTGTCTTTTTGTTATTATTATTGTTGTTGTTTGTATTAATGATGAATAAAGTTATGTAATGACCTGGCAGCTACCTACACATGTATTCTGCTTGACTTCAATTTTGTGCAGAAAATTATTATTCTTTTTCGATTTTTTGATTTTTTCTAGTATACGGAAAAGTAGTTTCCGTTTACTTCCGTATCTCCAAAATACCTGGTTGCTATGGAGACTCAAACACTTGGATGTATCTATCTATGGCTCTAGAGTACTTGGTGTGACTACTGTAGCCTCTTCTTTCTTTCTTTTTGCTAATCAATAGACGCCATGCACGCTAAGCATCAAGGGTATGCCAAGGAAACAAAGACATCTTTTTATATCACATTTTCTATCCCTTTTCTTCTATTTCTGCTTTTTTTCTCTTTCTTTCTCCAGTCCCCTTGAAAGCTACAACAGTCTCACTGATGAGAATTTGGCGGGTTATTTCGCCTCCTCTTCGAGGCGGCACTACCTCCAAAGGATGGGGCTGGTAAGAGCATTTACAAAAAGACTTCAATCTTTTCCTTTCTCATGCAGATCACTCAAGATGGCCGTGTTCTGGATGAAGAGACTATCCGTCGCTATCATGCTAGAAACGAGCACAGGGCCAGGTCGAAGCATGCAATGTCAGAAGCACTTGTCAATAGAGTCGTTGAGCTAGAGGTTAGCTCAACAATTCCGTGTAACAATTAAGTAGTAGCTAGATACATTTTATCTACAAAACAGCACACATGGATTGGATCTGTAATTGAAATTGCTGTAATAATTGTCACTTGTAGCTGTGTGGTGTTGCGCATGAATCTGTAACTTGATGATACATGTGCACGCCTTTGCATGTTGCTTTATGGTCTCTTTTTTCTAACAGAAAAAACGACGTGCAGTGTTAAAGAAAAAGATGGAGACACTCTCCAAATTGGAGCTAGCGGAGAAAGTAAAGGTAAGCTTTTATTAGACTGTACGTCATTTCAAAGTTTATAAATGTTCTCTTGTTTATCTAGCATGAAGCTAGTTACCCTTTGGGTGTGGCTTTGCTCGGTCCTTCAAACTCGTGCCCACCTCAGCTCTCGTCGACACTAAAGAAACGCCAGGAGGAACTGGGTCTCTCGGAAGAGCATTTCCTCCAACTGAACCACATGGTTAACACCACAAAGTCTCTACCCACGTCTTATATCAGTCCTTATGGCAGAGTACATCCGCCAGTACCCCCACCACCTACAACAGCATCACGTACTACCAACATGCAGATTAGGAGCGGGCGTATAAGAAGACCGCAGGTACTTTATAATACCCTGACAGTACTTTAGAAATTCAGTGACCAATACATGTACTACAATGTACATGTGTATCATTTAATTTTTAGACCCAAGCAATATAAGCATGCGTGCATAATAGCAAGGTCTTGTTTCATACTGTTATTCTCTTGTTTCAGACTGCCCCAGCTGTTTCTGAGATCAACATGCGAACTAATGTTGAGCTGAGGTTCGAATATTTAGGAGGTGGCATCAAATTAATGTCCGTTTTTGATCCACGGGTGTATGTTGAAGTTCATCAGCAGCACTGTGGTGGCAACAATATTTGCTTATTTAAGGGAAAACTCCTGGCTAAAGGTTAGTTTTATTGTTATCTAAATTTCATTGAAAATTCCTTTATTTTATGTATTTCTAAACACAGATCAATTTACTGTAACTTCAAAGAGACACTATGGAATGCCTTTTGGGATGTCACTCTACGTCAACGGGCTCATTAACTGTCGCATCAGCTCTTGCTGCGAGTACAAACACAAGCAAGGACAGGTTCTGGGCGGTGGGAAATCCTCCGCTAACTTTCGCCTCTTGAAAGTCGAGGGAGGTCAGCCGTGCTACCTCTGCAAGTTTGGACATGCAAATCAGTCAAAACTCTTCCCTCCAGCATTTAAACCTAAAGTATGAACATGTACATGCACAAAAAGCTACTTGTACTAATGTAATTACAGTTTAGTACATAAACAACAAAAGGCTACTCGTACTTGTATGCTTTGCAATTATAAAATTTCATCTCCTTGGTAAACTCTAAATGTTATGTAGATCTTTAAATGTCTCACTTATTAGCGCCGTGATGTATTTACAAGCTCGCAGTAATAATAACAACAAATGAGTGTACATTTATAGCAATAATTAATTACGTCGCATTTATTGTAATCTTCGCTTATCAATGCTTCCCAAGTATTGATAGGGTATAACAATTAATGTTATTTTTCACTAATACTCGCTATTTTTAAAAATGCATTTATTAAGTTTTGAAGACTTTATTATCATTGTATAGACTACGCCTGTGAAGACAACAGTGAAAATTGAAGAAGAAATAAAGACAGATGGAAAGGAGGAGGGAAAAAGAGAGGAGGATGGGAAAACAGCAGAGGAAGAGAAATTGTCGGACGATGAATATGATGATGAAGATTTCGAACAAGAGGATGATGATGAGAAAAAAGATGGTGATGAAGAAATAGATGGACAAGAAGAGGAAGAGAGAGAAGGAGGAGAGAAAGAAGAAGAAGGAGGGGGAGCAGGAGGGGAGGCTTACTCATCAGATTTTGATTCACAACAAAGTCAAGAAGAAGAAAGAAAATCCTCAAAAGCATCTACACTCACTTCTCTCTCCCATGCATCACAAAACTCACCCTCTCCACCACCACCTCCTCGCAGTAAGAGCACGTCAGGATCATCAAAAAGTAGTAGTAGGACTCCTTCTCCGTCTCACAAGGAAAAAGATGAGCCTGTACCTCTTGAAGTGGCTGAAGAGGTTGTGAATGTTGAAGAGAATGGAGAGCTGTTTAATGCTGTGGATAAGGAAGAGATACTAGGAGGGAAAGACAAAGAGAAGGAGGAAGAGAAATAGAAGGAGGAAGAGAAAGAGAAGGAGGAAGTAAAAGAGAAGGAAGAAGAAAAAGAGAAGGTAGGATCAAAAGGAGACAGATAAAGATAAGGACAAGGTGGAAGTCAAGGCTGACAAAACTCAAGAAAAAGTTGAGAGCCTTCAAGACATAGCTCCAGAGACAGAAGTGGCAAATAAACCTCCAAAGGATGGTGATAGTGATAGCCAGTTGTTATCAGATGATGCCATGATAAAGGAATATCTTACCCAAGTATTTAGAAGAGCTCAGTCATACATCAGTAGAGAGCTAAACATTGCAGAATTGGATGAAAGCAAGAATGAACTCATTCCTGCTACTGAGAGCGATGGAACTGATGTATCTTTGAAATTTGTTTCTTCCAAGCCGAATTCGCCATCTTCCTCTTCCTCCTCTTCCAGTGTTTCTTCTACTCA